CTAAGATTTGATATTCCAATTAAGCCACTGACAGATTCTGCCTTAAGATTTTTTAATGGGTTTTCAAGTTTACTTATTAAAATCTCTGCAATCCAAAAATTAAAATCGTTTGAATAAAAGTGACAAGCTGCATTTACCACTAAAATTGCGTTCTACTGCTGCTAAGACATCTTTGACCATTTTAGAATTTACTCTAGATTTCACTCCTTCCGGCCAGGCTCTTCCTCTATGGACTCGGAAGTTCTCCTGTTGCACAGAATATAGATGGTAGAGGCAAGACTAACCTTCACGCTCTGTGGTTCTTGAAGCTAGGAGAGGGCAGCACATTCACTTAACTAGATCATCACTTCTTCCAAAGTTAGCCAGAGGCTCAGGATACAAAAAGAAGGCACTCTTGCATGTTGGAGCCCCTCCTGCTCACAACTCCCCAACTTGTCTCTCCTGTTCCATTGCTCATGGTGAAGGCAGAAGAGCTTTCTCTTGTGATTCTGTCTTCTTCACTTTTGACTGCTCCAGTTTCTCCACCTCAGCCATACTGTGTGTCATACCTGGCAACAGAAAGAGCAGAGACGCTTGTGGACAAGAAGAGCTGGATCAGGGCACAGCTGTGCCAAGCTTGAGGATTCATTAGCATCATGGTTTTCAGCAAGTTCATGGTGGCAAAAGTCCTCTCAGTGGTGTTACTCTGAGGGTCTGACAGAACAGCCTTCGTATGCTTATTGATCATGTGGTTGGATGTCCTCAGTAATGCCCTTTTCTTTCGGATTCCATTCAAATCATAATCCTCTAATTTCCAAGCTAACACCTTCCCAAGTCTCCCTTAAATTAGATCAAAAGTTTCAGTTTTGAACCCTCCATAGGGTATTGTCTCAGCTGCTTTTATAATTTAATTTTTTTTAATTTGTCAAATTTAGGAAAAAAAAAAAAAACACCACAACCAAGACAGCATATAAAAGAAACTATTTAAGAAGGATTATGGTTTCAGACTGTTAAGAGTACATGATAGCAAAGCAAAAGCATGGTGGCAGGAAGAGCTGAGAGTTCACATCTTCCTCTGCAAACAGGAGGCAGAGAAAAGAACTCTGGTAATGGCACTTAGTGTTTTAAAAATTTAAAGCCCACCCCTATGATACACCCACTCCAAAAAGGCCACACCCACTCAACTGGACCACACCTCCTAATTGTTTCCCCCCCCCCCCCCCGAACAGTTTTACCAACTGGGGACCAAGCATTAAACAGATGAACCTATGGGAACCATTCTCATTCAAATCATCCCAGGTCTCCATTCTTATTCTGCCTGAAAATGGGATGCTGTCCCTCACCAATCCTTGATATCAAAACATCAAAATCTTATAAGAAGAAATTGAAGCAAGATAAAAAAAAAAAAAAGAAGAGGGTGAATTAAGGTGACATGGGACAGGAAAACGCTCCCTCACCCTGACTGGCTGAGAATCAACAATATTCCACAAACAAAATTATAAACCTTCTTTACAGTAAAAACATGTCTTAATTTCTTGTGTAAAATAAAATCTGAGGGCTTGTTTTCCAAGTTGCGTTGAACCAGCTTACCTCAGCCCCAAATGAACATAGGACATTAGACCCAGAATGATTCCTAGTCTAGCTATGCTCCACCCCAAACACTGCTAAGCTACCCGACCCCCTCCAGCTTAAACTAGGAGTAAACTAGAAACTTACTAATAGCCAAGCTTGCCTGTAATGGCATGTGCCTCAGAGGTTAGATCTTGTTGAGGAGAGGAGAGATGTGGGAGGAAATGGCAAGTCCTTCATGACCTGTAAGGCTGTACCTTCCTGATTGCTCAGTAAGAGGATGGGAGGGTTATCTGTTTGCATTCAAAACCCTTCTTGGCACTCCATGGTGTACCTGCCATTCTAGGCTCATGCCCAGCCTTGCACATTTGTAATATAAACTCCCACAGTTTTGCTACTATGAGTCTTCAGCGCTCTTACTATGTGAAGTGGAAATTTATGGTTTCCTTGAAGACTGAGTTTTGTCATGTGATGTTTTGCTTCGAGCTGGGCACGTAATGTTTTGCCAGAATGACTTGTGAGAGGGTACATGTTTTGCTGTGAGCTCTCACATGCGAGGGGCATGACTTTAGCCAGCTGAGAACATCCATGGGTGGACTCTGAAGAAAGGACATATATAGACGCCCACACACAATGAAACATTGCTTTTTGGATTGGCATTGTTGCCCTGATCTTCGTGCTTTGACACTTGACTTTGCAGAGAGAAACGTTCAAGAGAGCTTCTCTGGGCAATCCAACTGAGTCTTGCGGCTTTCACTGACTTTGTGTTGCTGTATGGTGTTGGCCTTTGGACTGGACTGCTGGTATCCTGAGGATTGAGTCTGGTAATCTCCTAAGGACCCATGACCCTAATCAGCAGGAAGTAGATAAAAGAGGACTACAGTCCCTTTTCCTACTAATCTCCTACCTAAGGTTTCGGGGGTGGGGAGGGTGTTGGAAGGGAGGTGAAAAATATAAGCCTATAATTATGAAGTAAGGATCATTATTTTTCATACTTATAATCCTGCTGTAGTAGGAATTTCTTGGACCCCGTTGACCTGTGACTGTCTCATCAACCTGTAATGTTGTCCAGCGTACCCGAGCCCACCCTGTGAATTCATTCACAAGAATCAACGAAACCCAAAAGAACCCCCCAAACATGTAAATCAATCCTTTAAATTAAAGGACTACAACTTTAACTTCACTAAGGAATATCAAAACCACATAGTTCTATTCTTATGACACTTAAACAAAAACTTCAAGACTCCTTTTTGGAAAGTCTTTGACTATTCTAGGACATGTAATGACACCATTTTCTTTCATTATTTAATTACTTTTTTACTGTTTTACATAGTCCTGTTTGGCCTGGAACTTGTTATGTAGACCAGCTTGGCCTCAAATTTGAGGCAATCTTTCTGCCTCCACCTCTGCCTCCTTGGAGTGAGAATTACAGGAGTGTGTCACCATGGCTGATAATACTGTTTTAGTCTCTTTTCCTGGTGCTGTGATAAAATACGCTGATAAAAGCAAATAATGGGAGATAAGGTTTATTTCTGGATCACAGTTAAAGGCTACAGTCCAGGTGGCTAAATCAAAGGCAGGAGCTTGAAGCAGCTGGCACATTGTTTCACTACTCGATTCTCTTTCTCTATTTATATAGTTTAGAATTCCAATTGGTTACAGTTTGGGGTATGAGTTGGGGTTTCCTCAGCTCATTAAGGTCATCAAGGTAATCCCTCACAGACGTGCCCAGAGGTGCATTTCCCAGGCAATTCGTTTCTGTCAAGTTGACAATTAACACTGACCGCCACACTACCCTTTCCTTCATCCTCTCTCCAATAATGTCCATCTATATTAAACTTTTTTCTTTGTAAATTCCAATTTACTTCATTAAAAAAAAAAAAAAAGCTAACAACTGCCAACCAAATCCGGGAGCTAAACTTACTGGCGACTTGACATTTATGTCTCAAAAATGATCTTTACTCATAGATAAGTAATCTAATTTTTAAATCTGAAATATTTCATTTAAAAATTACTATATAAACTTTTTTTCTCAGACAGAAAACTAATATGGATGAGAGCAGAGCTTGAGCTGCTGCATAAAGGAAGAATGCTTGGGCGGCTGAAGAAGGCCCTGGGTTTATACAAAGTACAGTTTGAACATTCACAAATACACAATGTTACTAGCAGCAAGACTAATGGAGATTACCTTCCCAGAACCCGGGAAGACCCTTCTTGCAGTCACAGTTCCTTGCACATCATATAACTATTACCTTGACTTACAGCATCTCAATCTTTCCATTTTGTTCTTTATAGTGAAAAATTCCAGGATGTACTATAGTTAATTATGAGGACCAGAGTATGGAGGGGGCCTAGATCTGGGCAGCAGTGAGGGAAGTTAACAGCTAACTACTATGGGCCCAAGCCAAGGTTCCTCTATATTCCTGAATGAAAGTTGAAACTATGACCAATGCCCACAGTATTCTGTTTAAGACAGGCCCGAAGCAAACCAGGTGGTGGTGGCACCTTTGATGACAAATGCCTTTGATCAAAGCCCTCAGAAGAAAGAGGCAGGCAGATAGATCTCTAAGTTCAAGTCCAGCCTAGTCTATAGAGTGAGTTTCAGACAGGCCAGTGTTTCTTAATACAAAGCGAGTTCCAGTACAGCCAAGGCTACACAAAGAAACCCTGTCTCAGAAAACCAGAGGGAAAATAGGCTTGAAGCAACAAGTGGTTCGTATAGATGCTCTTAGCTATGACCAATGTAGATTTTCTTTGTTAAAATTTCATTTTAAAATGCTCTTAACTTGTATGTCCTTGATCTTATCTAATTCTGGTGCTAATTGTGGGGCTCATTCCAGGACCAGGTCTTTTTTTCCATTTGTAACGACATTAGGTCAGAGAACTTTTAGTGTCACGAGTTTTGAGTTAACAGCAGAAATGAACTGAACACTTGGCATGATGGCACAGCCTTTTAATTCCAGCACTAAAGAGGTTGGTCCAGGAGGATGGTGAGTTGAAATTCAGCCTTAGCTGCATGGCATGTATTTGGCCAGCCTCAGATACATAGCCAGACCCTGACTCAAAAACAAACAAACAAACAAACAAACAAACAACAACAGAAACCACCAAAACCAGAAAGGAAGGAGAAATAATGGATTTAACACGCAACTTGCACTTTTGTATCTAGAACTTTATGCTCATCTGTGAGTCCCTGTTATTTTCAGTGTTGTTGCCTGGATTCTTGCATCGCCGTGAGGTGGTCCCACTACACAATTATTGTCATACATCCTTTGGGTTATTTCCTTCTGGCGACCATTAGTACAGACGCAGCTGTGGGTGTTCTGACCCTGGTTTGCCTCCTCATCGTAAGTACAGTTCCTACCAGCTGTGACCAGGGAACTGGTGGGTCACAGGGTACAAACTGTAGCCAGTTGACCTTGTTTTTCAAAGGAGTTGCCTCCAGCACCACAGTCAAATTCCGTTATTTCTCTTGGTATTTTATATCACCTTTTTGTGTGTGTTTCACTTTATTTTGAAGTATGCAGAAGCAGCTGAACAAGTTTATTTCTTTTGAGACAGGATCTGTTGTAGTTTAGGCTGGCCGTAAATTCCTGATCTTCTTGCCGCCATTTTTGCGGGTATTGGGATCACAGACACGTGCAATCTCACTGAGTTTGAACAAGTCTGGACTGCTTTTTTGCAGGACCTTTTCGTTTGCAGATTGATTCTCTGAAACGTTAACCCACCTCAGGCTTTCCTATTTTTGTCCAGTCATACCCTGCAAGCTGTCATGAGTTTTGTTCTTCAGTCAACACATTTTTTGGTCATTCGATGCTACCAGATGCGTCCGTTTGTGGCAGACTTCTGAGGTCCCTGGAAGCCTGACTCCTGTGTTGGGAAACGAGGAGCTCCTTCAGTAGGTTTGCGCAACCTGCTCACCTGGGTCTCCTTGGGTACCAAACCCCAAGTCTCTACAAACCTAAACCGCGCCTTCTCTTGCCAGCGCAGGGCGGGGTCGGGTCAGAGCATGCGCAGACGAGGTGGCGCATGCTCCTCAGTGCGGCGGGCGGGATTCTGGCGCGCCGTCCATCCCCGCTGGAGTGAGGAATAGGTGGCGAGCGGTTCCCTGAACCCGGATACTAATAAAGTTCACTAGAAACCATAATCGTTCTTAAAGAGCGGCGCGGGCGCGAGGCGTCCGCGGGGAGGAGCGGGGCTCGGTGTAGCGGGCTGAGCGGTCCGGGCTCGGTGCGGCAGGCTGTGCGTTCCGGGCTCGGTGCTACGGGTTCCAGGTTCCGGGCTGCGGGCTGCGCGCCGAGGGTTCCGGGCTGCGGGCAGGAGGTGAGTGCGGCGGCTGCGGCCTGCGCGGCCTCGCCCGGCTCGGGGCTGCGGGCTCCCGGGTCCCCGTGGGGACTGCCCGCGCGTGGGCGGCTGGGCAGCTCCGTGCCGTCGACTCCGGCCACGGCTCGCAGAGCTGCCGCCCTGGTTTCCCAGGAGCCCGAGTGTGTGAGAACTTCGCGCGGGCGCGGTCCGCACAGGGCTGCGGGACTGGACTAGAACAATCCCCGTGCTTTTTCTAACGTGCAGGCTTACCCGGCGTCGAAGACGAACCCACTCCCCTTACATTAGCAAGTGACCCATCCTTGGCGTTGCTAACGCGAGGGAATGCATTGGTTGCCAAGTGATTTAAAACTGAGAGGGAAGGCTATTTGTAATTACTGTCAGTTTTAAATTGCTCTCAGAATTGTGCTTTTCTAAGAATATAATTATTTTGATGCATTTTTTTGATTTAATTATTTTGATGCATTTATTTTGATGTGATTTTGAACAGGGTCTCACGATGATGCCTTGGCTGGCCTGGAACTTGCTTTGTCGACAAGCTGGCCTCAAACTCATAGATTCTCTTGCCTCTCCCTCATGAATTCCGGGATGTAGTGGTTTTTACTTTAGTTTCTGAGAATCTGAACAGTAATTCCCAGAGCTACAATCTATTTTTATGTTTTTGTTTAAATTTTATTATTATTATTATTATTATTATTATTATTATTATTATTATTATTATTTTAACTTTCATGTGGTTAAAAACCGTTTGGAGAGTTTTAGATCCATGTAACTACTAGTACAGGCAGGATATAAAACCAGTCCTACTATGTGTTGAAACCTCGTGCTGTCTTTTTATATCAGACCTCTTCTTTTTGATTCCTGGAAATTAATGAGGGTTCCAGAATGTCGTTGAGGTGTAACAGTTTGAGGTGTTAATAACTGTTTTCTTTGATGACTATATATAAAGCGCCTTTGAGATTCAAGATACAATAATGTTGGATCTATCTATCTATCTATCTATCTATCTATCTATCTATCTCCATTATTTTTGAGACAAGGCCCCACACTAGTCTCAAACTTACTCTAGTAGCCAAGGGTAATCTTGAGGTTATGATTCTTCTGCCTCCACCTCCCCGGGATTGGGATTACAGCTATACCACCATGCTAGGTGTGTGTACAGCTAGGCATGGCATCCAGGGCTTTTTGGAGCTACGTAAGCCATGCAAACACTGTACCAATTGAGATACATTATCTGTTCCCAGTTGTTTCCGATATGGATAATTTTTCATATGTATATATATTCCTTAGTGTTGTGTTTATATACGTATTAAATAATTAGGTGGATGTGCCAAATATATATTATCCACCCACTGAAGGACATTTTGGTAGTTTTCAGTTTTAGGTGATTATGAGTTGTTATAGGACTGGAGAGATGGCTCATTTTGTTGTTGACATTATTGTGTTTTGTTTTGTTTTTTTTTTAACTTCACAATTCCTAGGGTGAAGAATTGTTTAGATAGAGAAAAGGAAGTTGACTTGCCAAAACTGAGCCAATGTGAAATCCAGCTGGACGAGCAAGGTCAGATCTTGGTAAGATTGTAGATTATATTGTTATTTTTGCTTTCTGAGATGACAGCTCACTGTGTAGCCAGGAAGTGCAGCTGCCCGCTAGCCTCAGTTGGCTGTGTGAGTGCTGGGATAACGGCATTTGCCACAACACCTGCTAGACTGAGATTTCCTCCTAAGCTTCAGGATAGGGAGATGCTGGCAGTTGAAGACTTGGTTCTCATCCTAGAACATGGAAGTCATACTCTCAGAGCACAGGATTCAAACATTGCCGCCCTGGAAAGTTTTCCTCTGGTTCCAGCACCAGCCGCAGTCCAGAATCACTAGCATAGGCTCATGGATCTAACATTTACTTGATTATAAAATCACACGGGAGAGTGTGTCCATTTGGGCCCTTCAGGGAGCAAATGCCAAGATGGAGTTAGCAGTGCAAGAGGCTTATGGGGGAAGTTCCTGTGACAGCTGAAGAGAAGAGCCTCAAGATTGCAATGCTGTTATCCGAAACCTTCAAAAAGAGGATTTTGAGGAAGGAGCTCCAGCCTGCAGCCACTCTGATGGAGAGTGCAAAGAGGAACGCCACACAGAGCCCAGCTACCCTCCCTCCTTCGTCCTGCCTGCTAGTGTTCCTCTTAGGAAAGTATGAGTCCATTGGTGGATGCCAAAGTGACAGCAGCGCAAGCATCTTTCTGGGGGAGGAGGCTACATTGCAGCCTTTTATGCTTCTTGGTTTATTCTCTCTCTCTTTTTTTTTTTTTTTGTCATGTCAAGCCGACTTTAACCTTGTGGTCATCCTCCTTCCTTTACCTCCCAAGGGCTGCTGGGATTGCAGGTTTGCTCCACCATGGTCAGCTTGTGCTTCTCTTCAGAACTAGATACAAAGGCATCTTCCCTGAAGTTTCTGGTTATGTCTTGTTAGATCTTCACGGGAGACCCACTTTTACAAGTACTTCTAGAAGAGTCTTAGGACTATGCAAGTTTATGAAGCACCCGGGGCAGCTTTGTAGGCTTAGGAATATTCTTGCATTTCAGGTTCAGTCTGTACAGTGATGGACTTCCAAAAAAAGGGAGTTGAAATAGAATAGCCAAATGGACAGGTCATTTTAAGAACTATAGGAAATTGGCTTTCTATACTTTTTAGTGTAAAACATGCATATTTTGTTACTTTGTATGATACACTACAACTGGTCTCAAAGAATTTGTTGGTGTTAGATAATTTGTGCAGCACTCACTGTAATGTGAGCACTGAATCCGTTAACCAAGAGCTCAGTCTGATACATGACTTTACGTTTTTTACACAAAACCTTTCTTTGGGGTACTTTTTCTTAAAAAAAAAAAAAAAAAATCTTTAAGATCGAAAAGCAGTTTTCTCAGGTTTTGTATCTATTAATGCATTTGTGTGGGATTTGTGTTACATAAAATGAATGTTTGTATGTATAGTTGACACATTGCTAGGGTTTTTTGTGTGTATCCTTGTACAACAAACAACCCTGAGAAATGGATATTATTGTCAGGAAACTGAATCTTGGAGAGGCTAAATAATACACTCAGTTCTTCAACTCCAGTGACAAATTTTTGTGTCTGTGATGGGATTGTGTAGATAAGTCTTTAACTTTAAAAGGCGAACAAAGGAGAAGGTGGAATGGGGAGCCTTCGTCTTACAGATTATTGTGATATTACCTGATTGTTTCTTGATAAAAATGATGTTATTTTAAATTATAGGTTTGAGAGAGACGATCTGATCACCTGGAATTAGAGCTGGTCGGAAACTGTTTCTGTTTCAAAAATGTTGGAGGAAGATATGGAAGTGGCCATCAAGATGGTGGTCGTAGGGAATGGAGCAGTTGGAAAGTCAAGTATGATTCAGCGATACTGCAAAGGCATTTTTACAAAAGACTACAAGAAAACCATTGGTGTTGACTTCTTGGAGCGACAGATTCAGTATGTGCTTGGCATTTTATCCTTTGATTCCGATTTGTAAAGTGTGTAAGACTTTACTGGAAAGAGAAATGGCCATGCTGGCCAGGCTGGGCAGCCAGCGGCAGCAGTTAATGCTGTTGGGTTTTTGTTTTGTTCAGTTTTTTAAATGAGGCCTTATGTTGCCCACACTGGCCTTGGCCTTGCTTTGTAACCAAGGATGACCCTCAACAACCCATCCTCTTGCTTCTACCTCCTAGGCACTTGTATTACAGAGCTTCAGCTATTACTCCTGACCCATATGTTTGTATTTTTGAGACAGGTTCTTTAGGTTCTTTTGTAGCCCAAGTTAGCCTCAAACTGCTCTCTTCCTTCTTTAGCCTCCCTAGTACAAAGAAGATAGGTATGTGGCAGCAGGCCACGCCTGAGGTAGTCTTCAGATTTTTGTTTGATTTATTATATGCTTTAATCTTTGGCTCTTGTTTTTTTTTTTTTTTTTTTTTTTTTTTTTCTTTCCTCTAATGTATTTCATTTTCCTCTTTTACTCCTTCCCTTCTCCCTTCTGTATGCTTTATAATTATTAGCAACATCTTTCGGACTTGAAACACAAACTGACCTGACTGGTTTCTACCTGCTGGGTTATTTAGAAGGAAAATTATAGTTGTCTTATAGTTTTCTTCTTAGAGGCTACTTTTGCTTAGGATGCCTCTTTGTTTTTATTTTTATTTTTTTTTGAGGCAGGATCTCACGTATGTAAGTGTGGCCTTGAACTTGCTGTGTAGCAGAGGCTAGCCTTGAATCCTGAGTCTCCTGCCTCCACCTTCTCATTTCTCAGAGTTACATTTAGCTCTGGTGTTTCCCTTAAAAACTGAACAACACTACATAGAACTTAGAGATACTATTATATATCTTTATCCTAAGGAAGACAGGCTTAGGGGTATTAAATTTGCCACAAAAAGGAGCTCCTATTTCAGTAAATCCAGGTGGACTCTAAAACACTTGGGAGTGATGCTTTTTGTCATTAAGCTTTCAAGACTGTTTCAGGCTGTGCCTGACTCACCTGCCCACTTGCAGCAGAGATCTAATGGTGATCACTGGTTCTTCTAATGGTGGTCATTGGTTCTGCTTTGCCTTGGTATGCCTCATGGTACGTCCATGCTTGCCTCCTTAAAACATACTCTAAGTAGACTCTTTTTTTATCTTGATATTTGTATTTTCTACTTGCACCTGAAACAGAATTTAATATTTTAGATATTAATTGATTTTCATTGTTTATAGGTGTTACTTCATTTTTAGTTGTGTGTGTGTTGCGGGGAGGGCACATGAGTCCAAGTGCCTGCAGAGGCCAAACACCAGATCCCCTGCAGCGTGAGTTGCAGGCTCATGAGCCTGGGAGGTGCACATGGGTCCTCGGTAAGAGCAGTCTGTGTCTGCTCTTAACCACTGAGCCATCTCTCCCACCCTTACTCATAGGCTCTTTATTTGCAGGTTCACCTGCTTGCTCAAAGTTATCTGTAACAACAGAGTCACTGCTTCTGTGGCCACTTACTAGACAGGCAGAGGAGAGACACAACATTGTCCAACATGCACTTTCCCAGCTATGGTCATAAGGTGTTTCCCTTCCTGTTTTAGCCCTTCCACAGTAAACACAGCCTTCCTGTTGTGTTCTGTGTAGCCCCACGCTCGTACTGGTGCTGCTGAGTTGGCTGTCTCCCTTGGCCTCAGCTGTAGCGCTGAGGCCCTGTCTGGTGCTTCGAGCGCAGGAAGGCTCTGGGTGCCTTGTGGAGAACACTGTTAGAGAAGAGTTGCTCATGGAGTGTCTGTTGCGGCTGGGCATGAATGCGATGGATTACTATCCGGTAGAAATGCGTAAACAAGGTTAGCTGTTGGTCAGTGAATGGGAAAACACTAGTTCTTTTTTGCTGTGTGGAGACAATGTCTTATAATAGCACAAGTGAAAGATTGGCCTGCCTCAGGCTCCAGTGCTGAAATTGCAGCTGTGTATCATGCTGGCGCTCAGGAGCCTTACCTATCCCCGGGAATAGGGTGGCTCTGCCTTTGCTAATTTAATAGTCACAATAACATTTGAAAGCAGAGGGTGTGGCTCAGTGGCAAAGCACAGGAGGAGCATGCAGAAGTGCTGGGTTTGATCTCTAGCACCACACAGCGAAAATCAATTATATGATGGTGGAGTTCTCTTCCTCTCCCCCTTCTCTTCCTCCTCTTCCTCCTCTTCTTCCTGCAGGTATAGGTTTATGAAGCAAGCTGCTTCCTTCCCTATTCTCATTCCATTGCTATAACACCAAACCCCATTTTAGAATGATGTAGTAAGAGGAGAGAATGATCTGAGCCAAGGGAGTCCTCTTTCCCAGGTCTGCTGACCCTGGAGCCACTGTCTCAGACTGTCACTGTAGAGAAACTGGCAGCAGTGCAGTGTTTCGGCACACTTTTACTACGGGAACATCCCCATCATTTAAAAGGGTTTTGCTTTAACTTTCAGTAAAGTCAGCAGTAGAACTTTCAGACTTTTGGCTTGAAAGTAAAACTGTACATAAATCTTTTTCATTTTGTATGGAATAAATTCATCTCTTGTTTCAGAGTTAATGATGAAGATGTCAGGCTGATGCTATGGGACACTGCAGGTCAAGAGGAATTTGATGCAATTACGAAGGCCTACTATCGAGGTAAAATATGACATTGATTCATTTGGCTAGATAAAGAAACACTGCTGTTTTGGTGTCTTTCTTAGGGTTTCTGTTGCCCCAAGAAAACACCATGACCAAAAGTAACTTTAGGAGAAAGGGGTTTATTTCATCTTTCACTGCATCAGAGGGAAGTCAGGGCAGGAACTCAGAGCAAGAACTGAAGCACCGACGGTGGAGGAATGCTGCTGTGTTTAAGAATAAAGTAGGGCAAGGGCGCAGCCCTTCGTTACAGCGCTAACATGCCCAGAGCCCGGAGTTCAACCCAGAACCAGAAAATAACAGCAATTGCAAATAGAGTGTTGGCCAGCTGTGGTAGCACTAGGGAGGCAGAGCAGGACGATTATGGCAAATTTGAGGCCAGCCTCGTCTATGTAGCGAGTTCCAGGCCAGCCAGGGTTAAATAGGGGGACCTGTCTCAAAAAACAAAACAAAAAAAAACAAAAAAAAACAAAAAAAAAAAGGAAAAGTTTAATTTTTAGAGGATTTTTAAACAGTTCTGGTTCAGTATCCTTCTAAAACTCTTGTAAAGAATCAAAGCTTTGTACTGTAGACAATCAAGTGACACCTATAGGCTGTGGAGACAGAATCAGCCAGACTTACCCATCACTTTCTTTCATGACTTCTTCCAGATAATGCTGGCTTCAGGCTTATTTTCTTCTCTATGAATGTGTAAGATTTGGGTTTTGTTATTTTATTTTTATGCTTTGGTGTTGCTGTGGATTGAAGCCTGGGCTAGGCACATTCTCTTAAGAGTCTCCTGCCTCAGATTCGGAGGTTGAGATTACAGTCTAAGCCACTGGCCCTGGCTACTCTAGTACTTATTAGATAAGCACAGGCCATGCCATTTCTCTGTAAAGTCTGTTCCTCACCAGAACTAAAAACAACTGTAATGTTACTTGCCTTTCAAATGCACTGTTTAAATTACTTTCTAATGTTTCCCTTGGATTGAAAGGCTCTAAATAGCTTTGGATTCTGTAAATTTATCATTTTAGCTTAATATGGTCTGAAGGTTATAAATAGATGCCTGTTAAAAGCTCATCCTAGTAATGTAACTATTTATCCAATTCCGTTAAAATGGCAAGAAGAGTGGGAAATTGCTGGTTATTCAGTTGTTTCAGCTTCTTTTTGTAAATTACAAAGGCCAGCATTTTTTCACAGCACAGGCTGAATTGAGGAAGAAACAGTAGCACCTTTACCTACATTTGACAGGTGCTTTATTTGGCATCTCTCTATGGTTTCTTTGGGGTTCCATTAGGATCACTGAAAACAAAAAAGCAATTTTAAATTGGCTTAAGCCACAAACAAGCTGTATTAATTTGATAAATAGAGAAGTCTGGAAGTAGCATAGCCTTTAGCTGTTAATTTGTCAGATTGTAGCTGGGTGTGGTTTACGCCTTTAATCGAGCACCTAGGAGACAGAGGCAGGCAGATATTTATGAGTTTGAGGCCAGTCTGGTCTACATAATGAGTTCAAGGGCAGCCAGGGCTACAGAGACATAGAGAGATCCTATTTCCAAGAAAAATGGTGTCTACCCTGGATTAAGATTGATACACCCAGTATGTGTTTTTTGGGGTTTTTTTTTTTCCCTCTAGTGTACACATGGCAAGTGTCAGATGTCTTACTTATTTAGTGTGTCCTGTCACTAGGATGCTCATTCCCAGCATCTGACCAAGATGAGACTGAGCTGGCAAAAGAGCACTCTGTAAGAGAAGGGAATGGCCAGGTAGGGTGGCACAGCCGTTAGTCCAAGCACTCAGGAGGCAGAAGCAGGTGGGTCCCTGTGAGTTCTAGGCCAGTGTGGTCTACATGGTGAGTTTCAGGACAGCCAGGGCTGTGTAGAGAGATGCTTTCTCAAAACAAACAAACAAACAAACAAACAAACAAACGAGAGAAAGAGAAAAGAATGCCAGGCAGAGTCATTAAGGAAGAAATCCTGGATCATATCAAATCTATTAGCCTATATGATCTGAGCTACACAGACACACAGACACACACACACACACACACACACACATATTGGTCCTCTGTATCTGATATACTTTTGCATGTGCTATATAATAGGAAATCTATAATCGTAAAGTGAAGGTATCAGGTGGGGAAAGTAGGGGTCCTAACAAACCAAGAAACTCTAATTATGTGTCCCTTTGTCTACATTCACTGATACTTCATAGAACACTTCATTTGAGGTTTGGAGCACTTGAAATAGTCCACTATCCTTTAATTCCAGGCTTTTTTCTGTCCACTTTGACTCCGCACCTTGCTTCATGTAGAGTGGCTAGCTCTTACTTTAAAAGACATTGGTCTGCAGTATCTAAGCTACTGTAACTCTTATTTGCGAATAATAGCCTGATTTGTCCTATTATCTTGATACTGAACTAGTTTCCAGTTTGGGGAAGTAAAGAGAAAGTTACATTACAGAAGAAACTAGGTAACACAAAAATTCATGTCTTTCTAATTTCTTCTCAGCAGAATTGTCTGTTCCCCATGTACCAAATATTTCTGATGAGGGTAGGAATAAGAGATCACACCCGTGAAAAACAGGCATAGCAGAATTTTTCATTTCACACAGAGGGATGTAGAACTCCAGTAGGAGTGATTTTGTGGTAATGTTCATCCACTTCCTGTTGGCAGAATGAGTTTTATTTAGTGTTTTCTAATCGTAGCTAACTGTACCATGAGTTACCTTAAAGATTGACTTAATCAGGGAACATGGGCTCTTACAAACTCCATTTTTTTTTTTAACAGACCCTATTTTTTTTTAAATAAAATTTCCATAGATCATTAGTTCAAACCCTGCATTAAGAAGTTTGGCCATTTCCCCGTAGCTACCTCATAGATTCCAGCTGTATTAGCACAGTTAATATCTGTGCTGGGCTAAAGTGCACACTCCTTCCTACCTAGGCTTTGAGTCCTGGAAAGTTGTCTAGTATTTTTAAACCATTCTTATAATACGTCATTTTCCTTTACAAGCATTTCCCATCTTTTCCCCTTTTCTGCCTTTAAATTCCTTTTTATTTTACGTGTACAAGTGTTTGCCTGCACATCTGTACGTGCGATGCTCATGAAAGCCAGAAGAGGGCACCTGGAACTGGAGTGACAGGTGATTTTTGAGGCCACCAAGTTAGTTCCTATAGATCAGAGATCGTGTGATTTGTAGGCACAGTACTGTAAGATATCCAGGCCACATTTTCTGGGCAAGAGGTCATTGAACAGGTTACACTGCAACAGGAAACACAGGCAGCTTTAGCACAGCAACCATTATGTCTAGGAATTTGATGGGTCTTATTATTTGATGTATCTTATTATTCTCTTATCTATGGCAGCGTGGTAATTGGGTGGACCCAGGTAAAATAGTTTCCTCTGGGGGGAAAAAAATGGAGAGAATTTATTTCAGTGTCTTGAAACTCTAAAATAGAGATACCTAAAAGGGAATTCCCTCAGGCATAAGATTTACAATACAAGTTATACAATCTAAGTCTTTCCCTGGAGTACTGAGAAATTTGAATCTTTTCAAGCGTAAAGACTTGGTTCAAGTGACATGGGAGATTTGGGAAGAAGCAAACACAACACTAGCGTGGCTAAAGAGGGCACAGCATCACCCAAGTCTTCATTATCAACATTATTTTTTATCACTTAAGGAAACATGCTACAGTTTATCTTAAAAGTCTCAGGAAATCTCTAAAAGGGCCCGAGTTAGCATTTTGAGGCCTCTCACTGGCCTTTATTTGATGGTGCAGTAAAGGTGGGGACCATCCAGCCCTTCTGGGGTCCGGATGTGACATCAGGAGGAGTGCTGCGTGTCTGAGGTGGAAATAGGAACCCCGGCTCACCCTGGGGTGCTGCAGCATGAGAAGCAGGTGCAGTGCCTCTTCTTTGGACCCAGAAGCGAGTCTTTGATGTTCTTTTTCTAAGGGTCAAAATTTTAATTCATTCAGTTTTCTATTTCCCAAGAGCTCATAGTGGAAACATTTTGTAACCAATGATGAATTTGTAATTACTTTTTCCATAAGTCCACTGTAATAGCTTCTAATGTCTCCCTTTAACAGATGACTCACTTAGTCCTTCATGCACTTTTGTAGGATACCTAGTGATCGTTTCAGGAGAACTAATGAGAGAGCTTTTGCCAGGGGCAAAGAGAAAGCTTTAACTTTGTCAGTTGGCTCTTACAGTGCCGTTTGTCCACTCAGCCAGTCCAGAGGATTGAATATGCTAAACATCTGTACAATAGGCCATTTTACAGATAGAGTTAAATACTTGTAACAGTAGCGTAAGCACCATAATCTCTGAGCAATTCAGGAACTCCCTAAGGAACACCTATTTATTTATTTATTTATCTTTGGTTTTTTGAGACAGGGTTTCTCTGTGTAGCCTTGGCTGTCCTGGACTTGTTTTTGTAGACCAGGTACTCCCAGAGTACTGGGATCACAGGTGTGTACCACCATTCCTGGCAGAATAATTCTGTATATCAGATTTTTTTTTCCCTACTGGTAGGCAGTGGTTTTCCAGCAAAGGAAAGCTTCAACTAAATGGAAAAGCATACAGATTAGTTCTAAGATACATTTATATCCTTGTATATAGTATACAAGGTATAGTCTAATTGCCAGGCTTCAGATGGTCATTTGGTAAAGAGATGTGTCTTGTATTTGGGACTGATAGACTATCTTAAGTATATTGTGAGCTCCTGTTGGGACAGGCTAACAGAAATACTGTGTGCGCTAGGAGATTGTTTTAGCTGGTGTCCAGTGAACTAATGGATATGTATTCCAGAATTAAATGCCAGTTGGGTGTTTCATGGTGTCATGGGCTTGCCTAAGACGTAATCATAGATGACCATAGGTGCTGAGATCATGGCCCTTCTTTTGATGAGCGCCCTTTTCCTGTCATGGCACCATCTGTTGAGCCTGAAGGAGGAGTTCAGAAATAGAGTGGTCATCATGAACTGGATGGATTCTTTCCCGAGTATGGTTTCATATAGTAAAATCAGATTTAAGAATTTGAGAAAAATATGTGTGACTTTTAAGTATCTCCCCAAGACATTACAATCCACATCTATTGCTCATTCTTGCTCTCGAAGGCAAATGGATACTGGCTGTTGATTCAGCAGGGCGAAAAGGGGCTCTGTAGAGGCCTGACACTGAAAAGCAGGCTGCTTAGAGAAGGTTAGATGACAGGTGTGGGCATTAGGCACTACTGGCTGCTGAGCGTGGCTTCGCGGTGCTCGGAGCTCCTGCGGCTGCACAGACTCTCCTCTCTTCCCTTGACTTCCTTGCTGTACTGGGGTTCTGCAGGGCCTGTGCAAGGGTTAGAAGCCCTTTCCTCAGGATTCCTCTGTGATGGGCTTGGCTCCCATTAGGGCTTCTTTTCTCTAGGGTATCATTTATATTAGGTCAGGGTCTGCTGTTGTCAGCTCAGGCAGGGCCGCTGATTTTATTTGTCTTATGTCTGTTGAGGATTTGCCCATGATTCCAATGGTACTTGTGAAAGAAGGCTGTCCATTTCCTCTTACAGAGATTTTCTGACTCCTTCGTAAGTGGTATGGCGTAGTGGGGTCACTGTCCACCAAGTGTAATATCATCTTTCCCTTTTGGGAAAAGGAGCTATGAGCATTTTGTGTTTCTAGAAAGTCACATCCTGACAGTGGACAGGGACACAAATCACCAGTAGAAGAGTTGATTCCCTGCAGTTTCTCCAACTGAAACTCAACAGGGTTTGTCTTGGAGGCGGCTGTGGGGAGGCTGGAAACTCCATTTAACTCTTACTTTTACCCTGAGGGACAGGTTTTAACATGGAGGGACTCAAAGAGGACGGTAGCTCCAGTGCCAGCAGGGCCTCTCTTCCTCTTGGTTAATAAGTATCTCTATTTCAAGGTATTACTAAGAGAAAAGGAAAAAAAAAAAAAACTCTGGATTCCCCCAGAGCAGCCCTACTCCAGCCTGGTATTCTCTCTCAAGCTCTCTCAGAGGTCTGCTGTCCCCTGCACCAGCTTCAGTTTCATATGGTTTTGAAATGTCCAGGCTATTTTCAGTAGTTATAAGTAGCCTTGTCTCAAGATGGCAGGAGCTAGTAGGTCTGTTTGTCAGGAAGCTTAATGATTTTAATTACAAGCTCATCATCTAGGCAGTGATATCTTTTTCTGCTTATAATATTTCTTGAAAGTTGATCTAAAGTAACAAGCAAGGCCCATGCTGTTATTCCATTTGACGAAAGCAGTTAGATCTTTCAGCTTTTCCATAGGCACAGATTTAACAAGGTATCGTTTTGTCCTCTAAGTCCTGGGGTGGGGGAAGGAAATGGGAGCTTTATTAATGAAAATCTCAAGATACCTCCTGTGAGGTATTGGAAGCCCAGAGGTACTGAAAATAGCACAGGTTGTTGCCGTTTTTCATGGTTTCCCACCATCTCCAAATGGTAAGAGCTTATTACTGAAGACTCCAACTGAGTGTGGATAGAAGGTAGGAAACTCTTCCAGGTAGCTAGCTTTTCTAGGGCTGTGAGGCACTGTGCAGTCTCCTGGAGGAGAAGAGACATCAGTGGTCTCATTTAGCACTGGACCCTGGATGGCACAGTACACAGTCATGCCTGGCAGCATGCACCCACTGGTACAGTAGTGGCCTGACAGTTAAGGGGTGGCCAACTTCTTTCTGATTGACAAGAGGGATGGCATGTCTGGCTCTACAAGCCTGTCAGAAGCCCCTGACTGAGGAGATCCTAAGTCTTTGGTGGGGAAACCTACTGCTGATTTGTTAAACGCTGTGCTCTTAAGTTGCCTTCTGATTGTTTGCACTTCCGTGCATAGGTTTGTGTTGCTCTCAGCCATAGTCGGAAGCTGCTCATGTTCTCAGCAAGTGGCAGTTAATATAGATGTTCACACATGGATAAAGTGCTGAGTAACAGTGTTCAGGTGTGAGTGAGTTGTCTGTGTCAACCCCCTCCCCCATCGGAGGGCAAGGGATGGCAGATGGGAAGAGGGCTGTGTGATACCAACTTCTAGGTGTGGCATGGTTGTGTTACTCAGCTCATGGCAGCTGTACTTGCGTGCTCAAGACCTGTGCTGTAAAGCCACTCAAAATTCCAGCATGGATGAGACAGGAGCTCTGATGCCCCACTCCTGGCAGAGGAGCTATTGCCAATTGGTGGCCTCTGAGGGTGGGAGTCAGTCACTGCCCTTCAGGGTAGGTCACCCTGTCCCAGTGAGATTAAACTAGATTGGTGTCTCTCGCTGTCAGGTGAACTCTGCAGTGGAGACCTGCTTCATGTTGTCTTTCCAGAGATGGGAGCTGATTTTAGGATTTACTTTTGTTACCTCAGGGTTAGTGGTGGTGGTCCTGCTTTTATTGATGTGTTTGTAGGGAGTTTCATGTTCTAACTTACTTTGTTTTCTTACACTGGATGACTCCAGGCTTTTCCTGTGGCTGTGTAGACAGTTTTTGTTGTTAGTTGCCTTTGAAAAGTTCAAGTCTTCTCCTTGAGCCCCAGCCCCAGTAATTTATTTGGGGTATGCTCCTAGAAAGAAGTAGAAGTGGAAGGTTGTTAAGGAAGGGAGAGCTTCATAGCCTGAGGCTACTGTATTGAATTTACATTGAAGGAAACTTGGGTCCAGGCCCTTTAAAGAACATTGGAGAGCCGCCTCAGGAGACTGAAGTATTTACCAGGTCCTCTTGAGAATGCCCTAAGAAACCCAAGGCCCTGCAGAAACAAGAAAACACAAATAAATACAAAAATCCTTTGAGGCACAGAAAGAGGAACCCGCTGTAGGTGGTGGTAAACCGGGCTCTGGAGCTGTCCCACAGGAGGGGCACACGGGAGGGGCTGTGTCCAGCCCAGTGTCTGCCTGGGCCAGTGTCCGCCAGTTGCTTAGTTACTCCCAGGTCACTTCGGCTGTTGCGTCAACATTACATCTTCCTCTGCTCTGACAGTCTTTTGGTCTCTGCCTATTCTATCACCTACCTAATAGCTGGAGGGAGGCTGTTTTCTTTGGTCCTTCCTTTCTCAAACAACAGTGAGCTTTTCTGAGATCTGTGCTGTGAGCAGGTTACAAATCTTGCCATGAGGCTCGTAGCAGAAGCTTGTCATTCCCACTCCCCTGACCTTCCTGCCTCTTAGTTGGAGTTAAGCCGTACTTTGTAATGGTTAGCTAAATGTGTCCAGTTTGAGTTTACTTTGACACTTGAACTGTTCGTTCTTCATACCACCCTGTGCTTCTTAACGTGAGAGTCCATTGAAACAGAAGCAGATTGTTCAGATGTGTGAGCGGTGCTGGTCCAGAGGAGACTCTCCTGAGTACGTGGAAGCTGGCCGTGCCCGCACCCGGTTGCTCTGCTGCCGTGCTAACCGTTTCCTTTTGTGATGTTGCAGGAGCCCAGGCTTGTGTGCTTGTATTTTCTACCACAGACAGGGAATCTTTTGAAGCAATTTCCAGCTGGAGAGAAAAAGTAGTAGCGGAAGTTGGAGATATACCAACTGTGCTGGTACAAAACAAGATTGATCTGCTGGATGATTCCTGTATCAAAAAGTAAGATGACTTAAAATTCTTGCCTCCCTCCCATCTCTCTTTTCTGTCCTCTGTGACTCTCCCCCACTCCCCTTGCTTAAATCTGTATTAAAACGATTTCGTACTGACTTGTTCTGAAATTCTTTCTGTGGTGGAAATAAAGAACTGTGGCCTCATCTGAAAAGAACTTGCAGGGTTGCCACAGGTGACAGTAGGTAGGCTGGTGTGCTTCTCCTGTGCCACGGCACATACATAGACTCCAGCACTCAGAGGCTGAGGTGGGGACTGCCCAGCTTCCAAAAGCAGAGGGGGAGAGCAAAGTGTCTCTAGGTGCTTTAATGTTTGTAGTATGTAGGTTTGTATGGATGGGTTTAGGGAAGTTTGGGTCTATGTTGTTTTGTATATTCAGAACTATTAGCTCAATTAAAAAAAAATTAAGATTTATTTATTTATTTTATGTATATGAGGGCTCTGTCTGCATGAATGCCTGCAGGCCAGAAGACAGTATCAGATCCCATTTTACATAGTTTTAAGATGCCATGTGGTTGCTGGGAATTGAACTCAGGACCTCTGCAAGAGCAGCCAGTAGTCTTAACTGCTGTGCCATCTCTCCAACCCAGTGCAAAAGTACTTGAATGTGTGTACATGAGAGATGAGAAGAGCAAGAAAGAAAGAAAGTACCCTTACATATGAGGTAGGGTCTTTCCATCAATGTGGAGGCTACTCCCAGCCTTTAGTTAGCCTCAGTGATTCTCTTGTCTCCACACCCCAACAGCTCTGGAGTTTCACACCTAGCTTCTTATTATACTTGGTTCTGAGCTCTAGTCCTCACGGTGTTGGGGTCCAGAAGATGCTGAAAGAACGACCCCAGACGCATGCAAGAAACGAAGGTGCTTATTCTGCGGAGATCCAGCATGCTGGGACCACCGCTTCCAAAACATGGCAGCAGCCCCGAGGGGAGTTGACAGTCCTTTTTAAAGCCAGGGAGGGGGATTCCTGCTATGGCTCCTAACCTCAGTTGGGATTGGCTGGTACCCATAGAGGCTACGTGAGTCTGGTCAGGCCTTGGCTCCTGGCTGCAGGACTCTGGTCAGGGCTTAGGGGCTTCTCGGACCAGCAGCTAAGCAACATTGTCCCCTCGACCGGTTGTCCTGGCCAGCCCAGTTCTGTGTTTTTTCCTGCAACTGAAGTTTCTTTTTCTGAGGAACAGAAAACTCAGGCCTGTTCTGTCTAGCAAGAAAATGGAGCCCATCATGAAATTTGGTCAGACGTATTTAGCTAGGCTCTCTCTCTGGTTGTGCAGCGAGCCATCTCTTTTTAACCATGGAGCCATCTCTCCATTTCTTCATATTTTTTAACAGTTAATTACCCAGATTTTTACCTATACGTATTTATTCTTCCTCATTAATAATTTTTTGCTAGCTTTTAACCTCTTGCTTTACTTTTGCCTTTCCTTTCTCTTGCTCTTTCTTGCTTTACCTTTCGAGAGTGTGTCTGGCTGTGGGGCCCAGGCTGGCCGAAAGCTCATTCCTGTCCAGGTGAACGGGGACTCATCCAGCCTCAGCCTTGTTCACACTGGGGCTGTGTTCGTGTCCTGTATGCCTGGTGGAGAGTCCGCTCTAAGATGGCTCACTCAGTTGGAGGTGGCCTTCTTTAGGGCTGTTCGAGTGTTCTCGCTATTCTTACGAAGTGGCAGCCATTTCCTCAAGAGGAACTGCACTGACCTCTATGACCTCTCAGGAATGTTTTAGTGGACCCTGGCTACTGTGGTTACAGGATGGGAAAAGCTACACAGAGAGAGCAAATCAGGAGTCTGGGGGCCACAGGGGGCCATTCTGGAGCAGGGCTACTACAATCCCAGTAAATCTACAGAGTCCTCATGAAACTACAATCTCCTCTTGCCAATGGACACTAATGTATTCATTCACTTTGGCTTTTGGCAATAAGAGTGAAATAAGTCACTCGGGTTAATGAATTTAAGTGGTGTTTAAGATCAGTGTTTTTTTTTTTAAACATGGTCTCATGTATCCCAGACTGGCCCCCAGTTCTTGTAACTGAGGTTGACTCCGAGATGCTGGAATTCACAGGCCAGTATGTTAAGTGAGCACTCTGCCAACTGAGCTATGGTCCCATGCCCACATTAAGATACTCCAAAGTAACGTGTCATTGCTTTGTGACATTATAGAAATTCATTTTGGTCACAATTTGGCAAATGACTGATATTCATCCCATAAGAATAATTAAGCATATTAATTCGTGCTTAGCTAGGTGGGGTGCCTCTCAGAGGCAGAGGCAGGTGAATTGATGTGAGCTCAAGGCCAGCCTGGTCCAGGACAGCCAAGGCTACACAGAGAAACCCTGTCTCAGAAGGAAAAAAAAAAAAGTCATTCTCAAGCATTGAGCACTCAGCTTTCTGTTTCAGCTGATAGGGGAGGGCCAAGCTTCTTCAGGACAGACAGAGCTTCCCTCCCCCGCTGCCCTCCCCCCTCCAGGGTCCTGCATCAGAGACAATTGGAGAGTAACTTGGGAAGATCCTCTCGGCAGGAACCTTACTGCTTTGTTTGTTTGTTTGAATTGATGTGCAGTGAGGAGGCCGAGGCGCTGGCCAAAAGGCTGAAGCTAAGATTCTACAGGACATCTGTGAAGGAAGATCTAAATGTGAATGAAGGTAAATTGCATCTTTACAAACATACTGCAACAAGAAATTTGTGGGTTTTTAAAAAGGCTATTTCTGTTGTGCTTAGAAATTGGATTTCAAAACAATTTGAGAACATTCCATAACATTAATTTTGAAAGTATTCTGCTCCAAGGGTCCTTAATTATTCATTAATATTTTTGATTACTTGTTACTTACTGTCCCAGAAACTCCTGAGATTTTAGTGGGATTTTTTTGGCATTTTTTCCCTTATCTCTTAAAATCTAAGTTATAAGACCAGCAAGATACCCAGCAGTGAAAGTGCTCATCGACAATTTTGACAGTGTGTTCAATCCCTAGAACTCACAGAGTGGGAGGAGAGAGAAAACCAGCTCCCACAGATTTTTCTCTAACCTCCACTTGCTTGTGCCATATACTGAGTAAATAACTGAAAGAAACATTAAAAAGTGGAAGGTGTAAGCATGAATGTCCACATCTGTGTATTTCTCATGCATAACTTTTAGAAGGTGCTAATTGCTTCATTATTCCTCCACTGTAGAGACTCCCATCAGGCAGCAACATTTCTTCAGGATGCTCTAGTTTAAGAAAGTAGGATTGCTGGATGAGGTAGCGCACACCTTTAGTCCCAGCACTCAGACACAAAGGCAGGTGGATCTTTGTGAACTCGAGGCTAGCCTGGTTGTTATAGCAAATTAATAAATGGCTGTTAGACTCTATAATGTTTATTATTAGCGCTGTGATTATCACAGCATTATTATCTAAGCCGAGATCACAAATAATAAGATACAGACACCTGTTAGATTTTATAATCGCCTTATTTATTTAATATCTGCCTTGGTCCAGGCAGACACTCCTACCTACACTGTCTGACTCACCTCACCATCCATCTCCCAGGCCCTGTCCAATGCTGTCCTTAACCATCCTAGCTTCCATCCATAATCTTATAAATACTTGCTTTTATTCTTCATCTGGGCCTTTTCACGCCATTATTGGAGTCCTTCCTCCCGCCCCTACTTGGTTTCTTCTCCAGGCTAAACATCGTGGTGTCCTTCTTCCTTTCCCCTATGATTCTCCCATGTCTCCCATGATTCTCATGATTATTCCATCCTCAAGAGCGCGGGAACCTTAGCCATGCCTACCCCACTCTGCCCTGCCCTGGTATAGGCCATTTAATGAGCTACTCAGGTATAGTATCTTAGGTAGGTTTGCACAGGAACGGGTGTACCCAGGGGCCAGCAACCAGATTGTGAAGGTCAGTAGTTAGCATTACACCACCTTCCAACACCCGGCCTGCAGAGTGGAGGGTGGGCAGGGCCTTGTCTCAGAACAAACAAGGGAAGGTTCAGGTTAGCGATGCCGGGTAATCACCGTGCTTCAAGCTTCTCAGAGGGCAGAGCGCTGCGTGCAGGTCCATGTGGTCTCTTCATGGGTGTGCTTTACCTCGAGGGCTCATTAAGTGCATCACTGCATTTCCAAAGATGCTGCTCAACTTCTCAAAGTTGAATTTTAACATAATCTGATGTAATTTTAATCTGATGTAGTTTTGAATGTATGCAGTAAGTATAAATATTGTAGTGTGGAAATGCGTTTACTTGCATAGTCATTCTGACTATGTGTGTTTACTCTAGTTTTTAAATATTTGGCTGAGAAACACCTACAGAAACTCAAACAGCAAATAACGGAAGATCCAGAACAGACGCATTCAAGTAGTAACAAAATTGGTGAGTGCTTGGGGATCCTCAGCCCATATGTTTGCTTGGCTCTTGCTCTGTTCAGGGTTGTTGTGTTTACTCTCTAATATGTAATGTGCTCATTTAAGACGTCTGAGTTAAAACTGTTAGAAGGATGGCTCCTGGGCTCTGTGACTATCAGTTCTCTTGTTAAAAGGGGCTTGCTCTACTGAGTTTCCACTTCACACAGCAGTGGCCTTCCCCAGCGCCGGGGTTAGCTTCAGTGGCTGCTAGGTAGAGCGCTGTAGGGTACGCACCACCTCCTTCTGCACAGGTCTTCCCTTCTTAGGAACTGTGCAACTAGACCCTCCTTTGAACCATCCAATGGTCTGTGCTCACTCACTTGCGTTGAGTGTGCTGTGTCTTGCTTGGTCATGGTGATAGCAGGACCAGACTGTAAGCTACATAAAATGACCTTGTCTCCAGAATCCATGTCATGTAGTATTACTTACCTGGATATTGTATACCACCGTTTGACTGCAGCTTCTCGTGGGCAGCAACTGGTCTTGGCCTCTGGTTCCTTAGTGTGCCTATGCCCAGAAGTCTGTATGTCTCGATGCTCAGCAGTTCCTAAGTTAGAGGTTCTATTTTGTGCATGGCACATTTCAAAATGGGGGATATAATCGCTTCCTTTCTCACTTGTCATCTACCTGTAGGCCAATCTCATTATGATGTTTAAGCTTCAGGCTACAAAGAGTTCACTGAGATGGGTAGTAGAGGTGCAGAACTGAGTTTAATAGCTGAATTGCTTGCGTAGACTGTTTCTGTTGCACTACAATAAAAAGAGAAAGCAACTGGAGGTACCTGATTATATATCTAATTTTACTAATAAATGTGTATGTGACAGGTGGCTTTGAGGTATATCAGTCATTCTGTTTTTCCCCAATTTGTACAGGTGTCTTTAATACGTCTGTTGGAAGTCACTTGGGTCAGAATTCAAGTTCCCTTAACGGTGGAGATGTCATCAATCTTAGACCTAACAAACAAAGGACCAAGAAAACCAGAAATCCGTTCAGCAGTTGTAGTATTCCCTAAATTGTCCCAGGGAGGAGAAAAGCTGAGTTGCATCGTGCAGTTCGTTGAGAAGGGCACCGCGTCACAGCGTGTCCGAGTGTGCTGGCAGGTCTTGCACCTCGCTCTGAAAGCTGACATTGTATGTTGCTCTGCTGCGCTTCTCAGATGTAGACGGAGCCCTCTGCTGGACTCACGATAGTTTTTTACATTAGACGAAGCTTCTCCTGTTTTTGAAGGGACACCATAGGAAATGTCAAAAACAGGGTTTGCTGAATTTTAAATGCTGAAAACAAAGATGAAATGAGTAAGTAATGTTGGCACCAGTTTTCCTCTTATGGACCAAGGAGAGAGAGCAAGAATCCTTTTTCTGAAACTGGTCGTCTAGCTTTTCTGGGATGTTCAACCTGAATGCTTAAAGAAATACTGGAGGCAAAGCTGGGACTTCTGTGAGCCTGCAGCCGTGTGTGTGTTGTCCGTGGTATTTGTGCAATATCTTCAGTGGGGGTTGCGGGGGTGTGCATGCAGACAGCTGGCTGGAGAGGTGAAGGTCTGTGCCCTAGGAACGGGGGTATAGATTTAAATAGTTCACTCATACAACCATTTCTACATAGTATATGTTTCTGGTCTCACAGGAGAACTTTGAGACATATTTTAGAAAACAAACTTGGACTCATATGTGCCAAAACACTAGCCCTAATTTTTACAGTGCTTTACTATCAGAATTTGTATTTATGGCATCGTTGAAAGGCAGTTTCCTGTCCGACAGTGTAGGTGAAGGGACTGTAACCTCTGAGTGCTCGGCCTCTCCCTCCTGGGAGTTCTTGCAGTCTTCTCTGTGGCCCCTGTAGCGTGGCAAGCTTGTGCTCTTCGTGGTTAGCCACACACCGGGAACACAGAGCCACACGGAAGACTGCAGTGTGTGCACACAGCAGCCACGGGAAGACTGTGCAGTGTGTGCCCACAGAGCCACACGGAAGGCCCTGTGCAGTGTGTGCCCACTCGCGTAGCTCCTGCCTGAGACCAAAGCCTGACCTTCAAAGGTGAACGGAACTGTTTTCAGAGTGTACAAAAGATGCTCCCTGACAAAAGATGCTCTCTGGGCCTGATCCAGGTTACAGATTTTCTGAAGCCTTGCAAGTTTAAAGCATCCTTTTGTTTACACACTTCCTGTAGCATTTTACAATTATTGCTTAAATTTTTCTGTGGCCTTCGGCTTACATGGCACCTTAGCAAGAGCTGTCAGTAAGAATCCTCTGTAAAGAAATGACCCAGAATGTAAATGAAGGTCGAAAGCTTGTGAGTCGGACACTAGCCTGCCAGAAAGAGATAAGTTCATGAATTCTAGTAGAGGCTCTCCATCCTTTATCAGTAATTTCATTTTTAAAATATCACTAGCCTCTTTCCACATTCCTGGTTTTCATGTAACTTCAAAATATAAAAAATAATTTTTCTCGGAAACTGTGCTGTAAAGTAATTTTTTAACTAAAATATATAAATATTTCTTTTGTGCCTTTTTTTTTTTTTAAGTTTTCCCTCATTGTGCCACCTTCATCCTGCCCATGTAGAGAGCATCAAAGTCACGGAGTTACCAGTTGTTAGCACTCCCGTTGCTGGCAGTGTGATAAGAGGGGACCTGGTCCCTAACAGGGTGCCTGCTGTGAGCCATGAATTTTCTTTCTTCAAATACAATCTCTTTAGTTTTTGCACAAAGTATATTTGGTGGCAAATTATCATGATTGTCATTTTTTAATCGGCAAAAATTCATTCCTTATAAAACATTGTAGCTTTCTTCATAGTCCATGGTGACCTGGTACAAAGGTATGGTACTCTGTAAAGCAGCATCTGATGATGACTGTGCTCTCCTTAATATTGGTTACAAGTTTACATGCTTTATCTGTTTTTTATGGAAGTCTTTCTTACACATTTGGATTTTTACTTTGCATTTGCTCTATTTCATACCTAACTGTAAGGTCTAAAATCAGCCACAATATTAACTTATCAAAATATTCACTCCTGAAACCTTCAGCGAGCACATTATTGTTTTCTTCTGGGACTAACTCTTAAGAACTTCAGTATGAAATTCTAGTGATACTCCCATGTGATGCTTACAAGAACCCTGACCAGAACCTGGGCCGTTGTACATTTGGACTCTAGTTAACTTTTTTGCATTGTCACCAGTTTCTAGTGTCAGGCACATTGCTGTGGAATAATTGCCATATCTTAAGAGTTCCTCAGGTTTCTTCTTCTGGCCTCTGCCTATGAAAGACAACCCCTATAAGGCAGTTCAAATAAAAGCAGGTTGAACTGTTTCTTTTTATCCACTCAAAGTACACACTCAAAGTAGTTTTCAAATTAAAGCTAACACTACCACAGAGAGGATGTGGCCCTTTCCCTGCGGGGGGGGGGGGGGCGCTTCACACTTGTGTGGACAGTACTGAGAAGAGCTCAAGAGTGCGGTCCCACTGTGCCTGCCGCTCAGAACTGGGGTCTCTTCAGACTGAGGATAGGGAGTTGGCCACAGAACCTAAAGATGCACCCTGAAGTGCCGTGCCCCCGTCGTCTGAGGTGTTGCTAGCCTTTGCAGCCATTCTGGTGGCTGCCTAAGGGTTTCACAAACGAAACTCACCTGTCATGCGAATGAAGTTATCTGCATACAGGTAAATAAACCCACAGTGGGTCAGAAATGCCCAGGCACCAAGCGCCCAGAGAGCAGAACGAATTTAGCCACAAGACCGTTTGTTACTCCTTTTCTCTTGTCTCTTGAAATATCTATAGTAGGATGTTGATAAATGGTATTTTAAAAATAAAATCTTTGGATCAAAGGAAAATCTTAACCCCTTCTATATTTTTATTACTAATAAATAATGCTTTTGTAAATCTGAATGGGAAACTACTTGTATGTATTCCTACTGGGTGGTACTTAACGCGTTTGGGGTTAATTTAAAAATGTACTACTTGATTAAAATTTCAACAAAGATGAATTCCAATAACGCCCCAAAATAAAACATTTCAAAACTAGAATGGTGTGTGGTGTTTGTGATGGAGGCACCAGGATGGGGAGGAATGCTAAAAGGACCCAGGTGTGGTGGCTGAGCAGAGCCTTCCTTGGCTACACGGTGGGTTCACCAGCATGAGCTTTATTTTTCACAAATAAGTAAATAAATAAGAATAAGCACGCAAACAAGCAGATTCGGCTTCCCTAAAAATATTTCACATTTATCTACTTTGTACACTAATGTGCTCGAAGTCTGGGTGCCTGTTAATTAGTGTAACCTAGTAGCAGCATGCTTTAAATGGCTTTGCTCCAGAAGCGAACTTTTTTTTTTTTTCTGTAATTACTACTAGTCTTTTAAAGAAAGTTATTTTCTTGTTTTGAGGCTTTGGGCCCCAAACGCCATTAATCTATCTTCTGGTGTAAAAGAACCATATAGTTTAATTCACTGTATCAGACACCCCGCTCAGCCAAATCATCACCTTGTGTCTCTAAACAAGAGGGCAGGAGTGCAACCATAAGTGACGCCACCATCCCGAGGCGCCCTCTGCTGGCCAGAAGGTGGTTGGCCACTCACACCATTGCTTCTGCAGGACTGTCTTGTTTCCATTTCATCTCACTTCCTTGTATGAATAAACGAGAACCCACAAGAGTGGAGAACAGCTGACTTTAAACTCATTCATGTCCCAGCTGCTTCTCCAGATTTGCAGCTGTTTTTATTTTGTGTCCTTAGGTACTATGTTGTTCAACTTTTGAAATATCATCATAGAGATGGACTTGAGATGTACAGCATTTGCCAGGCTCAGTCATTTAGAATGACAATGTATGGCATTCAGAGCCTTCTGTGCTTTTCAGTTCACCAAATACTCTGTTGCTTCCAGTGGCTGGTAAATTTTCTCCTACTTTCCAGTTTTAAAGTGGAACTTGAGCTGGAGCTCATTGGTTAAGCACATTGCCTGCTCTCGCTGGTTCGATTCCCAGACCCCACATGGTGGCACACAACTGTTAGTCCTAGGGGATCTAGTGCTCCCCAAAGACACAGGCCTACATTCCAGCAAAATGCTACCATAAAATAATTTTTAAAATGAAATAAAATGGAGCTCTGCAAGAGTTGATCACTTCTCTCTTTTTTTAAGACAGGCCTCACTATGTAGCCCTGACTAGCTTGGAACTCGTTCTGTACACCAGAGCGAGTTTGAACTTGAACTCAGAGGTCTGCATTTTTGCCTCCCAAGGGTTGAGATCCCAAATGCTGAGATTAAAGGCCTGTACCACCACTCATGGGTTGATCACTTATTTAGGGTGAGGTCTAAGCACTCTGATGAGGTACTAGACTGAATTCCATTCTGTACTTTGTGTCCCTGTGCACAATACTCACTTAAAATCTTCTGGGGTCGGGGAGGGTGTTTGTTAATATTTCCTTAGCAACTCTAGTGTAAAACCTGTAGCTGGCTCATGCCATCCCATCTTCCCTCCCCCCTCCATGGAGTCAGGCCTTCGGGGAGCCCCAGCCTTTGCTTCCTGAGTCCTCTAGGACTCCTGCTGTGGCTGAGCAAGGGTTCCCCTCTGTTGCTCTGACACTCAGGCTGGGATTTGTGGCACTCATTTCTGCTGTGAAACAGTCTAGCGTCCTCCCCACTGTGGCCTGAGCCTTCCCTGCTCCTGCTTGACAATCATGGACTCAGAAGCCTAAAGACCAGTCTGCCTTAGTCAGTGAATCTGAGTAGGCTGCTTGCAGCTCCTCTGTAGGTCCTGCTGGCTACCACACTACAGACCCTGCCCTTAAAGGTAAAGGCAGAAAGCAGCTTCACAGAGCTAGTGCAGAGGTGAGTCCTGGGAAGCAGAACTAACAGGAATGGCGGAAGGGCTGTCTCTGTATGTGTGTCACATGAGGTTGAGACAGAAAATCTACTCAGAAGGCCCCCATACCCTGGGTGTGCAGAAGCCGGAGGCACTACAGATCTGTAACCTAAGAGGACTGAAGGTGGTGGTCAGGGTCTCGTCTGTAAGAGGAAATCAGTGACCATCCAAAAACATTCCGTTGTGAAAACTGAGAATGGGGGCTGAGGGGGGCTGGCTCGGAGGCTGCTCTTGGAGAGGAGCAGAGTCCAACTCTCAGCTGTCATCCCAGGCAGCCCTCAGCTGCCTCTTCTGGTCTCTATGGGTATGAGTGCACACACAAATACGCTCACGAGCATGCGTGTGTGCGCACGCGCACGCACACTATAACACATGAGAAAGAAAGAATGCAAAGAATATGAAGGCCATGGAGATAGCCAGAATTCATGATAGACATTCTGAATGGATAAAGAGTGAGCGAATGCGGATAAGGTGGCCATGTCTTCCAAGGGTAGAAAGGAACCAGTGGGGCTGACATTTGAGAACCACTGGTGAAGAACCAGAAAATACCATAACAGTGAGCCTGGGACAGGCATCAAGTCTGCTGGCAGAGAGCTTTGCCTCAGGGGGTGACTGCATTCTACAGAGACTAGCCCAGCATTTCACTACAGGAAGCTCTGCTCAGTAATGTCAGAACCGAGATAATGGTCCAAATGGACCATTGTTTGAAAAAGTCTGCACCCTGATAAAAACTGAGTTTTCGGTGGTTCCTTTCAGAGCAGCTGAGGAGTTAGTGCACCAGCAGCAGCATTTCCTCTTACTCAGAACGTGTTCCCTCGTCAGGGGACGATGACCATGCGGACAGGCTTCTTAGGAAATGAGATAACAGGCTTTGCTTCTAACGGTAGAAAAATAACGTCCGACACTAGCGAGCTGGGTGAAATGGATTCTTTTAATTACTGAAGACAGTACAAACTGATATAACTTACAAAAACTTAGAAACATGTTTCGGGGCCATGAACCCATCGATGGAATTTTACACAGAGGACCAAGAACAGAATAAAGCTCTGTGGACAGAGATCTTGTAGTCATAGCGAGTCGAAACCACCAACTGTCCACGGGAGACGTGACTGGCTAAGCACACCGTGCTCCTGCTGCACACGTGATTTCAAGGCAGGACGTAAAGAAGGCAATCGGCCCGTCCCTGGAGGGAGGCTCCTGCAGCCAGGTGCGTGTGGAGCCTCACAGTACATGAGGGCGGTTTCTTCACATTCTGTCATGCTTCCACACACCTAAAAATATGTCATGAGATGCGTAAAGAAACAGATCCCCCAAAACGGAGAACATGCAGGATGGAGTTCTGATGTGTTTCCTTTTATCCTTCTAGGCACACTGTGTGGTGTGAGCTCACTGCTCCAGGGGCTGGTGCGTCTGTGCTGAGGTCAGGGAAAAAGCAGTGGTACTTTTGCCCCTTTTTAAAATGTCCCCCACACACTCTGTATGCATCTTCAGAAGGTAAATACACAGTGCTGGAGCCCAGTTCAAGACAGGACTACTGTCCGAAACTTCAAAGCAGGTGACTGAAATACTTCTAGTTTTATTGTGTATCTGTAGACACTGGAATACTTCCTCATCTGAAATAATTATCAGTATCAGGTAAGTGGTCATGCCTAACATACAGACCTAGGGATTTAAAATTGTTTTCCTTTCATAAGGGCTCCTGGATTCGAAGACTAGTTGAATTTGCCGTCGGCGGTTTGCAGAGTTTTGGAGCCAGCTCCTTTAGAGTGCTCTAACAGTTTGATGGCCTTGTCAGAGTTGTCAATGTTCCTCAGGAGAGTCTCTAACCGCCTCTTGATTTTCTTCTGGTCTTCCAGAGCGCAGCCGATTACTATGGATTGGAACTTTTGGTCAACCGGCCCAGCCGGCACCTCAGATGAGCACGCGCTGTAGAGTGACATTAAGTGACTCTTGGCATTTCCTAGGTCATCCAGGAACTTACTGACCACCTCGTCTATAATCTTTGTGGCATGCTTTAAGGATTCCTCCTGCTGGGGGTTTCGAATTGTTTCCACGGAGACCTCAACAGTGAGGGTTCGCCCCATCAGACGGTTTGCAGTCAGGTTTAATTCCTCTCTTTCTCCTAAGCACAAAACATCGGTCAGTATGAGACAGAAGCTTACCACATCAACAATGCCAAGGCATGCACTTGAGGCTACCTTCATTTTCTACAGTTACTTCTGTGAGGTTTTTGCTTGTTTGTTTGTTTTTTAAGGTAAAAGACAAACATACTAGAGCATATAAGAATAACTGAGAAAGTGTTGGGTTACAGAGAATGCCTTTCCCTGGAGGCATCGGCTGTCTCACCAGCTATCAACCCCAGTCTGTTTGCCCACACACGGCACAGGCATCTACAGCTAGGAAGGAAATCGGCTGAGAGCAAGCCGAGTTTAGCTAGGCGGATGGCTAGGGATCTGGACAGTGGAGGCTCCATGCTGCACCTGCACGGGTCTGTCAGACCACACCACCAACGTTCAACCAGGAAGTAGCGGTGACAGAGGAGGCCAGTGGGCTCCTCAGAAAGCCTGCCCCCATCCCCTCGCCGGCAGATACGCTCAAGCTGGCCCTGACTGGGACCTCTGCCAGCGACTGGAAGCTGTGGTGGGCCATGAGCTGCGCCAACATTTCAAGATTTACACAAAACCGGCAACAGCTCCTCGCTCTTCCAGCTCCGGAACTCCCCAATTCACTGATCTTTTGCTGCGTGAAGGCTAGGCAGGACCTACTGTGGATGGACAGTTTTGGGGGAGGGGAGTTCAGCTGCTCATCTCCGCGGCTCTCTAGTCCTCGGGCCTCAGGGACCCATTCCTCCAGGGCTAGCCTACTCCTCAGATGACACGGCAGCGCTTTCGCCAGCGTGGGGGTGGAGCGCACACGCCAACAATGACCACCGGCCGCAGACGGACAGGGGCAGCTGTGCCCCAGCTGCCACTGGTGCTGAAATGGGGTGGGCACACCCAAAGCCAGGCAGGCGCTGCCCCGCACTTCTCACGGGCTCCCTAGCCGTGCACGGCGCCCCTCTGCGAACAGCTCTCACCATCACTGATCTGCCTCATGTCCTGGCTGTTCTGGATACTGTGGATCATCTCCAGAAGGATTTCTTTCTCTTGTTCAACAGCAGTAGCAGCATCTCTCAAAGCTTCCACCCTGTGTGAATCGGCAAACAAAATAGTCGGTAGAGGGACAGTGTCCAGCCAATTAATTTTCCTCAGCTGCCTTCTAAGTCAGCTCCAGTCTAAAGGACAGTAAGAAAGCTTTTCAAAAATGCATTCCTTAGTTGCCGGGTGAGGAGACTTTAATCTCTCTGATTTTTTCGGCCAGCCCGATTGACAGAGTGAATTCCAGGCCAGACAGGGCTACACAGAGAAACCCTATCTCTGAAAAATAAATAATAATGATGATGATGATGATGATGATGATGATGATAAATATAAATAAAGTAAAAATAATAAAAGCCATTACTTAAAAAAAAAAATCTTCCAGGGTTGTTGTTGTTTTGTGAAAGGCAGGCTTAGAACTCGCAGCAATCGTCCTGACTAAGTGGTTGGACAGCAAGCATGAGCCTCTCCCTCCCGCTCCTGTTTGCGGAGCTGTTTCCCTTCCTGCGCAGGGCAAGGTTGGAGCCCATGTTCATCTATGTGCACTTGTTCATGAAAAATCCGTATCTGTACATTTGCATTTTGAATTTGTATCTGCTTCTCTCTCTCTCTCCAACGCACTCTTCAAGCCCGTTCTGGGGCATCCGTGCTGCGCTGGGAGTCCTGTGTAGCTCGTCTGACTCTCTTCATCTCACCACTGGCCACTCATGCTCACTTCAGTGACTCGAGCAGGAGTCTGCATTCTCATCACAGTAACTCCTTACTGGCCGGACAGGACAATCGTGTCCCGGAGCTTTCTTCAGGATGGCCCTCATACAGAGCCCCTGACCCCGAGATAAACTCATACTAACTCTATTACCCAGGGTGCCCTTGCTCTGCTGCAGCCCAGCCCCTGGGGTCACCTGCACCTATTAGCCTACCCAGGAAGGAGCCTCGATACACTTTATTGAAGACTGAAAATAGCTACTGTATGTGCCTGAGTGCTGTGGCTGCTGGCAGGTAAGTGCATTACATATGTGACCGCAGGGGACAGAAGAGGGCTTTGAGTCCCCTGGTTATTAGTGCTGGGAGCCAAACCAGATCCTCTACAACAGCTGCCAGTGCTCTTCACCACTGAGCCATCTCTCAGTTCCCTTTTTTATTTTATTTTATTTTATTTTATTTTAGGGACAGGGTTTCACAACATAACATAGGCCGACCTTTCTGCCTCTGATTTCCAAACAATAAGAAGAGGCCCAAATTGATCGTGGCTTTGCCTTGTAGCTTATCCTTTTGAGGTTTTTAACTGCTTTTCTCACATTCTGGTCATAATATTGTCTCATATTTTATTTATAACTTTACCTTTCTGGTAGTTGTTTCTTTAGTCCACTAGAATACACTCTGGCATTAGGCAATAACCGAACAGCCATTTTCCTTAAAATTCTTTGCACCAAATCCTGTGTTAACTATATGAAGTGCATCTTTGAAATCTCTCCAGTTACTGAGTACACATGCTGCCCTCACCCACACATTTTACAGCAGGATGGCCTTTTTACCATGCAATAATTGGTAGAACAGCCTCCACCAAAATCTTCTGTAAAGAAAGTGTAGATATTTATATTCATATAAAATGTATGCATTTCATTTCTCTTTAAAAAATGGGTGAAATTTGACATCTTTTTTTACAATGTAATTTAATTTAAATCTCTTCATTTACTTCAGTTTTATGTATTCTTTATCAGCTTTGAAATACTCTTCATACTAGCCTTATGGGTTGCTGACTGTTCTAGAAACCTTGTGGATATTTTTGCAGATAATTTTAATTACATTTCTACTCAATTATTAGTAGCTTGAGACATGCTGGTTTTTTAGGTTCAGCTTAGAACTGACAACACTGATTGCATTAAATTTTAGCGGTTGACCTATCACTTCTATCATTTCTTCTAAGGTGATGATCATACCATCTGGGAAAAACAATCCTGTTTCTTTTTAATCCAATTGCTTTTTCTTTGTTATATTAACTGATGTCTTTTGTTTCTATTCTAGACAGTGGCAGAGATAGGTTTTTTGCTTTTTCCCAAATTTAAAGGAAAAGCCTCTTTGAGATTTTGGTATAAAATCCTGATTATGGGGCTGATGAAATGGTTCAGTGGTTAAGAACACTGATTGCTCTTCCAGAGGTTCTGAGTTTAGTTCCCAGCAACCACAGAGTGGCTCACAACCATCTGTAATAGAATCTGATTCCCTCTTCTGGTGTGTGTAAAAACAGAGCATTCATACACATTAAACAAATAAATAAATATTAAAAAAAAACTGATTATATCATAGAACACGTCATTCACTACCTCAAAAATACGTGTGTGCGCGCACAGACACACATACACACACATTTGCATGTACAAAACTAGGGTGTTGAATCATGAAAAGCAAAACATCTCACATAGATAAAAGATTTCTGTTTTCAGGTCACGTTTCTTACACATTACAGTGACCACATTTCCAGCTTTTGTAGAGAAACAGTGACAGATAACCCCAGAACCTGAGGCCATGGGCAGGCATTCTAACCCAGATCACCAGTGGAATCGGCCAGGGAAAGAACAATTTCACCAACCTTTTATTAGCACTCCTCAATCCCATGACCTCCCACTCTCCTTCTATCCACATGTCACCCACCTGTCAAATCCCAAAATAGCGGAAAGTAGCTCTTAGGTGTGACCCCTACTGCGTGTCTCTAACAGTCAGCAGAAGCAGGCAAGGATTGCGTGTGCAAATCTGGCTGAAAACAAACAAAGCACCGTAGGCCAGCAGGCCTCTCCCAGAACCATTGTTCTGCAGGAGTGTTCTCATGTTCTCCTGCAGATAGAGGAGCCCAGGAGGTAAGAAAGAGGCCCAGCTGGCACCGATACGAAATGTTTATAATTAGAAACTCTAATTATGACTCCAGTGTTTAGAGAAATGATGCACAGATGCTCAAAGACCAGATTATGTTCTAACACTTGAATGTTGTTCTAAAAAGGGTTCGTTTACAGTAATCAGTTAATGGCGGCGAGTCTGTGGAGTGAATAAAACAGATTAAGAAGGAAACATCCTAAGGGGAAAACACCTCTTATCTGCACAGAAAAGCTACTTTGAGATAGGGATGTAGCCTTTGCCACACAGAATGTGCTGACATTTGTAAAGCCTTGAGTTTGATCTTCAACAGAGAAAGAGACTGATTGATTTGGGGAGGCGAGTTCTGAAAGAGTTCTTTATACATAATAGAAGATGCCAGAATGATATATCTACATATATTTATACATATCTATATATCTATATCTACATAGATATAAATATATTTACATATTTATATATTTATGTATATATCTATACATATCTATATATATTTATACATTTATCATGGGCCTTTCATTTGCTGTGCTTTCTTCCTACAACATTCTTCCTGATACTTAGGATCTTTTAGAAAATTGTTTCCCTCAGGCAGGGACTGTTCACAGCTTCCCCCCTTGTTTCCCTGAAGGAGATTAATACCTCCTGTGGCCCTCAGTCTTAGTCAGGGTTTCTACTGCTGTGATAAATCGCTGTCATCTAAAGTGACCTGGGGAGAAAAGGCTGTATTTCGCTGACTCTTCCCTATCATAGTTCATCACTGCAGGCAGTCTGGGTGCTCAGGCAGGGCAGGAACCTGGAAGCAGGAGCTGATGCAGAGGCACAAGGAATGTCCCTCATGGCTTGCTCCCTCATGGCTTGCTCAGCCTGCCATCCTACAGAACCCAGGAGTGGCAGTGGGGTGGTTTCTTTTACAGGAATCACTAAAAGCCCTAGAGCAGCCATTCTAAACCTGTGGGTCATGACCCCTTTGGGGATCAGACAACCCTTTCCCAGGGGTCATTCATAACATTAGCAAAGTTAGTTATATGGCTGGAGGGTCACCACAACATGAGGAACCGTGTTAAAAGGCGCAGCATCAGGAATGCTGAGAACCACTGCTCTAAGGGCGTTCTTGCTTACAGCTTGATCTTATAAGGCATTCTTGAGAGTCCCTCTTCCCAAATGGCTCTAGCTTGTGTCAAGCATTTACAACTAGCCAGGACAGCACTGTTCATTTGTTTTACTCCCCTCCACCCCACCCCCTTCTTTTTGAGATAGGCTAGCTTGGAACACACTTGAACTTCTGATCCTCCGGCTCCTACCTCCTGAGTGCTGACATAGACACCATGCCTGCTTTATCAGTGCTGGGGCTAGAACCTAGGGTTCATGTGTCCTAAGCCAGGATTTCTCCTTATTTAGCTTGTTTAAATTATATTTGCACTGTTCATCAGCTACTGCTGTAGTTAAGCTTAGTTTGCAGAATTCCGTCTATGTAGCTTTTCCATTAACTCGAGATCAGTGACTGCACCTTCAATAAATACTGCCTGCCTCCCTTTCTATTCATCTCTTAAGAAGCTGGGATAGACATATATAAACACACAGTCTATGTGACAGCTTTTCTCTTGTTGGCAAGGGGCAGTTCTGTGAGGACTGGGGTCCCAGGAACAATTCCATGTGTTACATGTCCATAGTGGGGAAGAACACGTCCTCAGAACACAGCTGACTGGGCAGAGCTTCTAGAAAACTTCACATCACCCTTAGCTGGTTTTGACAAAGACATTGCAGTAAGAATTTTCCTAAGCATAAAACTGGAGTCCCCTCACCCAGGCCTCAAGCATCTCATTAGGGTTAGGGTTAGGGTTAGGGTTAGGGTTAGGGTTAGGGTTAGGGTTAGGGTTAGGGTTAGGGTTAGGGTTAGGGTTAGGGTTAGGGTTAGGGTTAGGGTTAGGGTTAGGGTTAGGGTTAGGGGCAAAGCGCAAGGAGGAGGAGGAGGGCAGGTGCAGACAGTTGTCCCTAAACAGCAGCTCACAAAACTGAAAACTCTGGGGCCTGCACCCATGTGCTGAGTGAGGAGCTAGGGCTGCACACTGAGCCACCAATGATAAAGAGACCTTGGCCATGACCAAACAAAGCAAAGCAGGGGCAGAGTTTAACCTGCTGACTGACAGCACAGGCTAAGAAATTCAGCATGAGTCATGTCTGAAGTCAGTGCGCACTGGTTTCACAGTGGTTATTCTGCACTTACTGTCATGAACACAAGCTCATCTGTTAACAATAAAAACGCGTGGTTTCATCAACAGGGAAACGGCAACCGTTCATCTCTCTGGGTTTATGTGGCAGGAATCTTTCCCAAAACAAGTTCTTAAACTCACAGACCAGGCTCCACGTGAGACCCTGGCACCCCCTGCAATTCCCGAGATTGTCAGGAACTGGTTTTCCCAGTCACCAAAATGCTGCTTTTCATTCACTGTCAGGACTCAGAACCACTCACCAGCACATTAACCTAAGGCAACGCACCTGGTCCTTCAGTCCCTCCCTCACCCCAACAGGGTCCCAGGTATTGAAGGCTGGCCTAGAACTCACTGCATAGCATATCCCAGGATGACTTTGACCTTCTGCTCCTCTTGTCTCTAGGACTTGGATACCGGCATGCACCACCACGTTGGCTTTCTGAAGCCAGACATAAGGCCTAGGGTTCTGGACACGCTAGACAAACATCCTGCAAACTGAGTTCCATCACAGCCTGGCACTCCGCTGCCTAAAGATAAAATGCTCTCCTCTCTCAAGGGGTTTATAAGAGTCAAATTACAGTGTATATGAAAGGAGTTCTTTTAAATTACAGGCTGTTGCTCCAAATTAAATATGGTGTCAAGTTGCTTTGTGAGTCTTGGAACACTGGCACATCCTAAGAAACCAAAGCAGGGGAATGGCTCATTTTCCTGGCCCCTGCTGGCAACGTCATTTCCTGGCTACAAGAACTGGAGAGGAGCACCTCACTCTGCCATCAGTTTTGGGAAATGTGTGAACAACCAGTCTCCCAGGCCAACCCTCATCCTCTCTGCCAATCTCCATAACCCAGCCCTTGAACAGTTTCTTTATCACCCACTAGGTCTTCAGTATTTACTGAATTAATGCTAAATTGATTTTCTGCTCTTTCAGTAAAATCATGTTTGTTCATATGTCAACTGGACAGTTTGAAAATTGATATTCAATACTAGGCCACATGGTGTAGAACTGAGCAGCCGGTCTTTCTGGGTTCTAAGGTGAAGTCCCCTGCTCTTGACTGCAACTTGAAGCGCGTTGTGCATTATCTGAGCTTCAACTTCTCATCTGTCGAATACAGATAATGGTAACTCCCAAAGAGCCATGAGGCCTAGCGTGCAGACAGATGCTAACATGCATTATTTGTAGACTAGAATAATCCCTAAAAAAAGTAATAATAAGTAAGGTATCCAGCCCTGACAAGGGCAGAATCCCCACAGAACTGGTCATGGAAACTAAGAAAGAACTGAATCATCTCTTTAGAGGAAGCCCTTGTCTTTAGAGGAAGGGAAGATGTAATAAAAAATATATTTTGTACTGTAAGGTAGCGTAGCTAATGTTATAAGCTTTTAACAGTTTGTAAAACAGGGCTGAACATTTCAAAGCGTTTCAGTCATCCCAGAGGTCAGTTCACCCTCCAGGACATGAAAGCCTTTGGTGTGGTTTCAGCTTCCTGAGGGAAAAGTGACTTTCACTGTTAACAGAATCCATATATTTTCGTACCTTCTGACACACTTAGTTCTGAGTGTGCATCACATTTTTAAGGAAGAGACAAAACTTAGAGAAATCTATAGTTTTACTGGTAGAAGCCTTGAACCATTAAACACATGCTATCAAACCCTCCCCGTCAGCACAACTGTTAATTAAGTAACTGTTAATTTAGTCGCTATGTGCCCTTGGTCAGAGTCCCTTTGGCATTAGTCAGACATTAATCTGTAACACCACTCAGACTTTCAAAAGGCCCTCAGGAGGGGAGGGAGGGAGGACCCAGCTCACTGGAGTCCTTCCTTCAGGTTTCAGGACAATGACTCAGCTTGAGGAAGAATAACAATTTCCTGAACCCTGTCAGGGGGTTAAAAATCGGAGCAGTTGAGAATATAAGGTCAAAGTTCAGAGCCTACTTCATGGAGGGAAGGACTCCCTTCCCCTCAGACGTCCCTTTTTCTCCTTCCAGCTTAGGGACTGGTAGCTACACAGGAGACTGTGAAAATTTTCTCACCTTCTGGTTCTTTTGTCCTAATAATAATGAATAATGAGTGCCTCGCTTGTACCCAATACTGCTTGTGTTTTTCTGTGCAAACATACTTCCGCGTGTTTGCGGATGAATGGAGGGAGACAGAGACACTCAAGGCTCTTAAGATTTGGGCTCATGTTCTTTGCTTAGGCGGAACCTTGAGAAAACCAAAGAACAAAGTGTTCGCTGGCTCAGGAGACTCGGGGCGACTTGATAAGATTTTCATGGAACAGCACCCGCACACAATCAAAACTTGTGCAACTTTGGAGACTCTAGCGTTTCCGCCGGAATACGTAAGGTCTCCCACTGTGACAGGCGACAAAGTATTCGCAGCATCTGCTGGTATTCAAGACTTAGAAATTGTACTACAAGGCTGACCCGTGCTAGAATCAGGCAGAGTGTGACTCCTGCCTTCCCGGTTTTTCAGGCCTGTCCCTTCTAAGCGCACAACAAATACCGGGGGACTGCGGAGGACATCGCACGTGGTTGGGAGAATGAAGGACGGTATCCAGCACTGCCTGCCCCTCAGGAGTGTAGCTGTGGCTGGCCACGGGAGGGACAGCCCCGAGTCTCCCCGTTACCCTGTGTTCCTGGGAAGTGGTTCGGGGCAGAGAAACTTCCTACGGCGTGTGGGGGGCACACTAAGCCGCTGCCTCCGCCCCCTCCCCCCAGCATTACTGGAACCAAGAAAGTTAAAGGTTGTGGGGGAGCGCGCCGAAGGTTCTGGAAGTTCTGCAGGCCGCGCTCCCGGGTCTGGTGCGGACCGGGGGAGGGAGGGAGGGAGGGGGGGAGGGCTGCCCCGGAGCGCGCCCCCCACGCCGCGCCGCCCTCACCTGAGCTCCAGCTGGTCCAGGCTCTCCAGCAGGCGGCTGGAGCGGTCCGCCATGGACGACGAGCGGCAGAAGCGGCCCTCGTGGGCCTTGGCGCTGATCTTCGCCTGGGCCATGAGCGACGGGGGTCCGCGCGCGTCCGCGGGCAGCAGTGGCGCGGGCCGCACGTCGCCGTCACCGCGGGCGCCGCTGACGCGGACGGCACCGCCCCCCGCCCCCCCCTCCCCGGCCGCAGGGCCAAACAAGGGCAGGCGCGGGAGCAGCCGCCTGCACGCGGGTGGGGACCCGGCCCCGCCGCCCGCCTCCCACCGCGCTGCCGGCCCCCCAACGGCTGCTGCTGCTTCTCCCAGCACCCACGATTCACAGCAAGGACAGAGTCCGTGCGGCCCGTGACGTGGGCAGAAAAGGTCTCCTGGGGAGCATTAGACAACTGAGCACGCCCCAAGGGCTGTCTCTACTAGCCCGACCTGTCCGGTTACCAGGCCGGCTCCGGAGAGCACAGGGAAAACCTGGACAACGCTGTGCTCCAAATAAGGAGAAGCCAAGTGCATTTATGCTGTCTCGCCTTTTCACCGAAAGGATTATTACCTTCACGCCCAACTTACTTCAACCCTCTGTGAATGTTCAACAGGCTCCTATGTCAGAATCTGTAGAGGTCAGTAAGGGATGGAGTAGGGTTGAAGTATGTATTTGTGTATGTAAAGTTGTGTTTTGCACAGAAAGCAGGAAACTTAGTGCATTTACAGCCTTTGCGAAAACTCAGAGCCGAAGTCATTAAGATTACTGGACAGAGACAAGGCCCCTAGGTACCGCTGGCTAGCCCAAACATTTTTAAAAAGTAGTGGAACTTCGGTGGATTATCTGACTTCATTAAACACTGCCATTTCACGACACAAACGTGAAATCTGAACATGTTGCGAACGTCTTGAAGATCTAAACTTGGGCAGGTCTCAGGTCTTAGGCCAGCTCTTCAGAGGCCAACAACAGGATTGTGTCGCTTGGGTCGGAGTGAATGGAGGCAAGGCTGGGTAGCTCTGGCAAGCGCTATCTCAAAATTAAAAAAAAAAAAAAAAAGGGGGGGGGGGGGGCTGCAGACATATCTGTGTGGTACAGCACCTGCCTGTGTCCTAGGTTAGCAAGCAGGACAGATGCGGTGGGATTAGGTGTGGCCCGCTGGAAGTGTATCATTGTGGCAGGTTTCAAAACACTCAGTCTATAAGACTCAAATCTATTCCTAGAGTCTCTCTGCCTTCTGCTTGGGTTTTATTTTTATTTTTCAAGACAGGGTTTTCTCCGTGTAGCCCTGGCTGTCCTGGAACTCACTCTGTAGACCAGGCTGACGTCGAACTCCGAGAGCCACTGGCCTCCTGAGTGCTGGGTGCCACCACTGCTGTCTTGCTTAGGTTTGAGGTTTGGTGAGTGCTCAGAACCTGTCTTTGCTGCTATCACGGACTAAGACCCTCTGGAACTAAGCCCGATGAAATGCTTTCTTTTCTAAGTTTCCTTGGTCCTGGTGTTTTATCACAGCAATGAGAAAGTAACTAAAGTAGCAGTCATCTTCAAGTACCTGTCTAAAGTTGTGTCACATGTTGAGTATGCAGAGGCGTTGCCACAGACTAATCTGCTACATGTCTGCTCCTGTCTGAAGATATGTCTACTCTACAAGCAGACCTACAGGGTAAAAATACCCTGAGCAGCTGGGAGCTCAGAGACTGAACCAACGAGCATGCATGGGCTGGGCCTAGACCCCTACACATATGCAGCACATGTGCAGCGTGGTCGTCACGTGGGTCCCCTGACAATGGGGGTAGAGGATGTCTCTGACACTGTGGCCTGCCTTTGGATCCCTTCCTCCTAGCTGGGCTGCCTTGTCAGGCCTCAATGGGAGAGGAAGTGCTTAGTCCTGCTGCTTGATTGCTTCCTGTGCCAGGATGAGTTGGTACCCATGGGGGGCGTGTGTGAGGGTGGGACCGGGAGGAAGCAGGGAGTTGCAATCATACTATAAAGTGATTAAATTTAAGTAAATGGAAAATGTATCTACTCTTTACTTCGTAAATGATGACCTTAAACTGAACATGCTTCGGATTGGGCTGGCTCCTATATGAATATGGACAGGCTCCCTGAATAAAGTCCCCCATGCTTCCAAGGTTTGTGGACAACTTTGCTTTGGTAATGGTTCCTGTGCTCCAACTGTCTGGTGCAGGTTGCAAATCTTTTGTTGTGCTTCATTTGGTTTCATGGTACCCATGTGGTCACTGGGAATTGAACTCTGGACCTTGGGAAGAGCAGCCAGTGCCCTTAACCTCTGAGCCATCTCTACAGCCCTCACCTGGACCCTTTCACGCTGGATCCATTTGATTAGTCAGTCCCAGTTCTACCTTCAGAATGCATCATGACTTGTCCAATCCCACCATCACCTGGTCAGTCTTCACCTGATGACTGCAGAGCCCCATCCACTCTCTCGGGCCCTACCCTGCCTCTCCTGTGTGCCCTCATTACAGTATGCAAACCCAGTAGACTGTGACATAAACTTCCAAAGCCCTGTAGCAGCTCAGCATGGAGCAGACAAAAACACAGTTTCTTTCACGTGTGTGCAATTTTTGCAAAATTATAAAGCAAACCACAAGTCAGGGACCACCTTGCGTGTTTTTTGTATGGCTTGTTCCTTCACCTTCTTTGAATCTTTGCTTAGGTTCTCTTACCAGATGTCAAGAACACCATCTGAGCTGAGCACAGCTGGTGTACATCTATAACCAGGAAGCAGAAGGCTGAAGCAAGAGGACCTCTTGCTTCAACTGTGAGGTCAACTGTGAGGGCTACCTTTTATAGTCTTGTTTGATGCTTTGGGATGCACAGTGACACCATCTTAAAAACAAAAAAAGGAAGCCACAGTCTGGTTGATTTTGCAATATGAATAACAAATTCTCAAGTTACAATATCTATTTAAAAGAAAGAATCTAAGTAGGGCTTGGCATGTTAGCAAAGCCCCAAAAGGCCAATTCTCAGAAAGCTGGGAGAAGAGTGAGAGCTGGAGCCATTCTGGCTTACTAGCTCCTCCAGGATAGCTGAGGAAAAAAAAAGAAAAATGCTTTTAAAGCAGCATCTGGGATCGAAGCTTTGCCCTCATGTATCCTAGGCAAGGATGTTATCAACAATATATACCGAACTCAAAATGTGACATCAAGAAAAAATGATTTCTAGTATGGATCGAAAAGGCCAGAAATTCTATTCCATACTAAACTCCATATCCACTGTTGAACAGAAAGGAAAAATTCAAGCCACATCTTCCTGTCTTAACCAAAAAGTAAAGCTTCTTACTTAGAAATCTGTTATTTGGTCTTTTGAGGCATGGCCTCACCATAGGATGATCGTGCTGCCTCAGACTTCTGAGTGCTGGAATCACAGGTATATCCAGCTGGAGAAATATTCTTAACACTGTCCAATTACATCTCAACATTTTTCTATGACATTTCTTCCCAAATAACATGAAAGATACACATCAAGATAACATTCGATTCTTATTGTTCCACTGATGTAAATTTTTACTCACAATGGAGCTTCAACTAGTAAGAACTAAATATGTTATATCAGATGCAACTCAAAGAATAACTAAAATAAAGACAGTCCACATGAAACTGAATCTTTTAAGAGTCAATGATTACTCCTGAGTAGACTAGACCTTTAACATTATTTCTTGAAAAGTATATATATGAAAATTAGAAAACAATTTAAAATGTTTTCATGAATACATAAAAAGACTAATATTAAAATAAGTTGAATTCTATGTATATGCTTTAATATTCCAAGTCATACAGAAGGCTGAAAGGGATAGTAAGTTTCATTTTAGTTGTTTTGAAGATGTTTTTATTGTAGCTATGTGCAACTCTAGTCAGAGCAAGTATACAGCTGCGTGATAACACACAGAACCTCGATGGCTTTTCATGTGTGTCTATGATCAGTTTCCACTACCCTCTTCCAATAATCATAAATAACAATCTCAAAGGTATATGATACATTAGGCTCACATAACACAACGTTTCTGAAAAAAACTGGGTCATGACACCTTTTATTTTTATTTTTCATTCCTAAAAAAAATAATATAGAGCCATTTATACAGTACAAATAAGCTAAAGAAGTAATACTACAGGGAAAACATACAACAATCAAGAGCTTTACACGTTTTTTCCTTTAAAAAAATGATTTTAACCTAAATACATGAATTCTAAGTTAGCTGGAAAACTGTGACACCATTATTAGAATATGATTTATGTTTCCATTGGCATGTATTTTTTTCCTTTCAATCATTTTTAACCAACAGCACAAAAAACACAGCAAATACGAGATTCTGAACATAGGAAAGAATTAAACATATTTTTAGATACATTTATCCTAGCAGATTTCTGGTCTCCTTTAGAAAACAAAGTCAAGAGTTCATTTTCCTGAGTCTCTTCAAGGCCACTTGATGTTGTGTGGTAATATCGTTTATCACATTTCCTCAAGACTTCTTCTAATAGCTTCTTCTAATTCCACATCTGTATTAAAAAAACAGAATTTTCAAACAGGGCAGGTAACTAATTATGTGCTGTCTGTGACAGGTTTATTCGCATTTCTTTCTAAGAAGCAGAGTCAGAGAGGGCAGACTTGCCATGCAGTGGAGAACCCGAATATGGGCAAGTCAACGTTACACCCACACTGTGTATGCCATGTGTAAGGTACCTCTAGTCAGTGATAGAGAAGCTCGGCAGACTTTAGTAGCACTGACATGTTACTTTAACAGCAAACAAATACTGTTTCTGTCCTAAACCATTCAAGATGATACATCTCAGAAGTGGGAACAGTGGGCTGGTGGGGTGCCTCAGGGGAAAAAGGCACTGGCAACCAAGCCTGATGACCAGAGTTCAACTTCCTGGACCCACATGGTAGAAGGAGAAGCCACTGCCCCAAACTCCTCTGGTCTCCACATGCACACATTCAGTGGCACACAAATACACAATAAAGAAAATGCAACTTTACAGAAATAGAGTCCAGGTATGGTGGCATAAGCCTTTAATACCAGCACTTGATAAGGAGAAACAGGTGGAGCTCTGTGAGACCAGCAGCAAGGGATATGACAGTGAGATGCCCCTCATCTGGTGATGGGGGTGGGGCACACAAGGACAAAGAAAGAGGCTGTAAAAATAGAGCTATGGAGGACCAGCGTGGTCTACAAAGCAAGGCTCAGGCTACAGTGAAATTTTGTCTCAAAAAACAAAAGAAAAGGAAGCAGGGGTGGAGAGGGAGGGGATAAAGGGAGATAATGAGGCAAAGAGGGAAGACAGAAACAGCAAGGCAACACTATGAAATGATTATACGTCAATAAAGCTCAGGGGAAATTAGCTTAGTTTTGGAATACCATAGCACTTCAAAGGATAGAACAGTAGGATGGCCAGAGCTTGGAATTTGAGATCAACCTGAATAGTGCAGTGCAGTCCTGTCAGAAACAAACCAACAGGGTGAAGAGATGGCTCTGTGGTTAGGAGTTCTTGTTGCTCTTTCACAGGACATCATGATTCTCAGTAGCAACATGATGGCTCACAACCATCTGTAACTCCAGTTCTAGGGTCTCTGATGCTCTCTTCTGACTTCCAAGAGCATGAGGAATATACGTGGTACATATAGATAAAATAAATTTACAAAACAAAACAAATCAAAAAACTGAGATAGACCACATAGTACCATTCAATGACAAAAAGGCTAATCAAAGTCAGAGTAGAGGAAAACATTTGCCACATATAAAATTAGTGCTTATGTGGGAGAAAAAAGATCCTTAACCCATAAATTTCAAGTTGACCCTGTAGAAAAAGATATTTGAAAGGGCATCAGGAAAGATGATACTTATCTAGTTAGCAAACATTACTCATTGAGAGGGAGGGGTGACATGCCTAGGAAGCATGAGGCCCTGGGTCTTTATCTAGTACTACAGCACAATACAAAACAAGATAACCACACACACACCAAGATGAGACACTGTCCCCCCCCCCCAATCCCTTTCATGATTGCTCAGTAAGGCTGAGAACAACAGAAACAGGACGTGTTATTACAATTAGTAACAACTGACACCACCACACTGGAAAACGATTTAGTATTATGTCAAGTTCAACCTCAGCAAGTCCTGTCCTAGGTACATATTTCCAGAAATAAGAAATACAGACCAAGAATAATGTATGGCACAAGAAAGAATATTGTCAAAATATACAAAGAAATGTCTATGATGTGATATATATACAAAATATTACACACTTTAAAAATAAACTAAAATAACATGATAAAATTCAGTGATGCTTTAAAGCATTGCTGATTCACTAACCCTAGCCAAGAGTGGTGGCAAAGCCCTACAAAGCCTTCCAGCATTCAAAAGGCTCAAGCAGAGGATCTTTTATGTTTGAGAACAGCCTAGCCTATAGAACGAGACATCATCTCAACCACTCAAAACACAGTAAAAGAAACAGCAAAAGTACATACAAATAAACCATCATCTATAATGAGATTACATGAATTAAATTTAGCAACTAAAAAGATGAAACCAGCTGGGCACACATGTTCATGCCTGTATCCCCAGCACTCAGGATGCTGAGGGGGGAGACTTGTCCTGAGTTTGTGGGCATCCTGAGCCATGCAATGATACTTAAGCCAGCCTGGGCTATACAGTCTCTTCCCCACCCCTCCTCTCTTGTTTTCGTTTTTCTTTCTTTTTTTAATATTAATTACAGTTTATTCACTTTGTACCCCAGCTGTAGCCCCCTACCTCATTGTCTCCCAATCCCACCCTCCTTCCCTCATCTCCTCCCATGCCCCTCTCCAAGTCCACTGACAGGGGAAGTCATCCTCCCCTTCCATCTGACCCTAGCTTATCAGGTCTCATCAGGACTGGCTGCATTGTCTTTCTCTGTGGCCTGGTAAGGCTGCTCCCCCCCTCAGGGGGAGGTAATCAAAGAGACAGCCACTGAGTTCATGTCAGAGACAGTCCCTGTTCCCCTTACTAGGAAACCTACTTGGAGACTGAGCTGCCATGGGCTACATCTGTGCAGGGGTTCTAGGTTATCTCCATGCATGGTCCTTGGTTGGAGTACAAGTCTCAGAAAAGACCCCTGGGGCCAGATTTTTTGGTTCTGTTCCTCTCTTTGTGGAGCTCCTGTCCTCTCCAGGTCTTTCTATCTTTCCCCTTCTTTCATAAGATTCCCTGCACTCTGCCCAAAGTTTGGTTAATAGTCTCAGCATGTGCTTTGATACACTTCTGGGTAGTCTTTCAGAGGCCCTCTGTGGTAGGCTCCTGTCCTGTTTCCTGTTTTCTCCTTCTTCCAATGTCCATCCCGCTTGTCTTTCTGAGTAAGGATTGATCATCTTACCCAGGGTCCTCCTTCTTGCTTAGCTTTTTTAGGTGTACAGATTTCAGTATGTTTATCCTATAATATGTGTCTAATATCCACTTGTTTTGGTTTTTCAAGATAGGGTTTCTCTGTATAGCCTTGACTATACTCAACTCACTTTGTCGATCAGCCTGGCCTTGAACTCATAGAGAGCTACCTGCCTCCTGAGTTCTGGGACTAAAGGCGTGTGCTACCATGCCCAGCCAGAGTTTCTTAATATGACTTTTAATAAAATAAAAAATTTAAAAGGCAAGAAGCCAACTATATGGTTCAACTTCCAATATTAGTGAACCAAATCCATCTTAAGTCCTGCAAGGCAGTGGAGAGCCTTGAAAAGGTAGAAACAAGATGAAAGTTGATCCCTGAGAGAAGTGCATTGCACAGGGTTAATTTTACAGCTTTCTGTTTTGCCTTTCTAATCCATATATATGAGACAGCTAGACTCAGGGACTGAAGAGATGGCTCAGCAGTTAAAAGCACTGGCTGCTCTTCCAGAGGAGCCAGGTTTGATTCCCAGTACCTACATGTCCAGTTCCAGGAGAGGTGAAACACTCTTCTAGCCTCCATAGGCACCAGGCATGCACATGGTACACAGAAATAAATGCAGGCAAAACACTAATATACATAAAACAACAAAAAAATTAACAATTATTAAAAAGATGACTAGACTCCAATCTGATGGTCACACACTTAGTGCTTTGAAGAATCACCAGAAAGGTTTTGGTCTGCCAGAAAAGCTAGAGCTTGTAGAATGGGAGTGGAAAGGAAGAAGAACAGCAAAACCAGAAAGCAACAAAAGTAGGATCCTCTGTAGCTAAAAAGTCCTAGACAGAGGCAGAGTTCCTAAAGTGAGATGGTTTGGTGGGCATGGTGGGTTTGGGGACTTACCACTTGATGGCCTGAGTTTTGACTCCTGGAGTCCACAGGGTTGGAAAGAACTGATTCCAGCAAGGCACCCTCTGACTACCACATGCATGCGGTGATGAATTCCCACCCCCAACACACACACACACACACACGCACACACACACACAGTCAGAGCAAACCAACAGGGAAACCTGAAGGACGTAAGAAAATATATGTGCTGCTTATGGGATAGGGATAAAGGAAAGATGAAGAAGAAGACAGCACTGTGGGATCTTTCCTGTCCCTCCTCATTGCCCTTGCTCTGACTGTAGTAGTCTTAAGTAGACAGCAGCCTCTGTTCTAAATGTGGGACCCTGGGCTCAGATCTCAGAATGAGCACAGCAGACCTTATAGGTCACTACTGGTCTCTTTAATCTATGGCTACCAGTCAGTCATCTATTTCCCTAACTTAGCACCCTCTTGAACTACAACAACAACAAAAAGCAAAAAGTAGCATGCGTTGCAGGGATGAGGGCTGGGGAGGGAGGGAGGGGTTGGGGGGGCAGAGTGGTGCTATAAGTCGGACAAAATAACCCATCATAGATTGGAGCAAAATATGGGTTTTTGCTCAATCAACATTAAACCCTGGGAGGAGAACTCAGGAAAAGGATCTCTGCAGAGTTAGGGCACCCCAAAGTGCCTGGTGTAAGGAATTAGAAAGCCATGCAAGCCTGGACAGGAGGACAGCTTAGAAACCACATGAGGAGATTTCACCACTAACTCAGCTACAGGCTGGACACAAGCTTGTAGGGATTCTAGCACAGAGCAAACTGCAAAGACAGGGAGAGGTGGGCTTTGTTTTAGCTCCTGGATTTAAGGACGAGCTGTCAAAACTAGCCAAAAAGACCTCAATAATCACAATAAGGAATACAGTTCTTCCAAAACTAGTTTATAAAAATTAAGTGAATAACTGCCTAGCCTCTCGATAAGAATACAAGAGGTAGAACTTGATTTCCAGGGTTATCACTGTAACATCTCAGTATCACTTCAACAGCAAAAGGAATCTAAATAAGAAAGTTTGAAGGTAACAGACCTGCCTAGTATTATATCACCTCTAACGCAGGCAACCGGGATCCAGTGTTTGTATGTGTCACCACCAGGTTATGTGTCTTCCAGTTCCCTTGATGGAGTACACAAATAGTTTATAAGATTGCTAACTGGTCTGGATGGTCAGAGTTTGACACCGCTTCACTGAAATAACTATCACAGGAGAAAACAGCTCACTCCTACACAGCAAAAGCCACAAGCAAATTTATCCTGCCTTTTGTCACCATTTGTCAAACATTTACAGTGTTGGGAAAGAGAAGAGACATAAACAAGAGGATTCCTGAACTTTTCTGAGTTCCTCTCAAGCAGGTTGGGCAAATTATCCAGTAGCAAGAATCTACTAGTGGATCTAATGCACATTTAAGTTCTTACTAATAACTTCATCTATTCAACAACAATCATTTAATGCTCAAACTGCTAGGTTCTGATGAAGGAAAGAAATAAGCATGATCTTAACTTATCAAGGACCTCTGTCGAGATGAGAATGGTGACAAAACTATTTCAAGTGTACTTGGTATGGTACAGCCACAGCTTTCTACAAAGGGTAGCCATAGCTTTGTCCAAAAACCAGAGAACTTAGCTGTATATGTGGTGTAAGCCTGGAATCTTAGCTACTAGGGAGGCTGAGGCAAGAGGATTATGAGTTCAAGGCTGCTTAATCAGTACACAAGACCTCATTTCAGCAAAACAAAACAAAACCAGAAAATCAACCAGAAATGACATTCGAGTTGCTTATTATATAGTGCAGCAGTTCTCAGTCTGTGGGGTCACGACCCTTTTGGGGGTCAAATGACCCTTTCACAGGTCACCTAAGAATACTCAAAAACACAAATATTTACATCATGATTCATAACAGTAGCAAAATTACAGTTGTGAAGTAGCAATGAAAATAATGTTATGGTTTGAGGGTCACCATAACATGAGGAACTGTATTAAAGGATTGCAGAGTTAAGGAAGGTTCATAACGACTGGTGTACAGAAAAAAAAGAAAAAACAACAAAACAGCCGATTAGAGGAAAATGGAAGGAGATCAGATCCGTTCCTTGGCAGGAACACTATGGGTTAAATACTTACAGAAGGCATCATCAGGAAAGAAACAAATCACACTGTCATTACCCTTTGATTTTCTAGGAAGGGACATCACGCTGGCATTTCAAATTAACTACTGAAAAGCTTAGGGATCCTCTTTTGGATTCTGACTTGTTAAGAGTTTTGAGAAAGGATCTCATGTATCCCAGACTAGCTTCTAAATCACTAGATAGCCAAGGATGACCTGAAGTGTCTGACTCTCCTGTCTCTGTTTACCTGGTGACAGACTATGAACATGTGTTGCCAGCCCTACTCTTCTGTGGCACACTGGGCAAGCACTTTACCAACTGAACTACGCCCTACCATGTTATCTGGTAATTTTTTACCCCAAACTAAGAACGATAGAAACATTCAACCTCCTAACTATAAAATGCACTGCAAAAATAACAAAATGGGGAGGGTTCTGAAATATAGCCAGTTGCACACAATGCAGAATTACCAGGGTAGCCTGAAACTCACAAAACCCAAGAATCCAACATGTGGGGAGTTAAAATTTATAATTTTCCAGGAATTAGTCATAGGTTTTTAAATAAAGGCTGCAAATTCTGATTTACCACTCAATGGTGTTTATCTTTCAGTAGTCTCCACAAGCATCTTGGCTGGTATCTTTTGTTTAAACTCAACTAAAGTCTCTTCTCTGCCTAACTCATCATTACGTGACTGCTAAGCACACAGTTAGACCTCCAGACCCTGTTGGGAAAGCCTGTTGAACAAGCCATTTGGTTCTCATTAGGTTGTAGATTTTCTGCCAACTTCATTATACTATGACTTGGCTATAAGAGAAAAAGATGACAGTTCAAGCTTATTAAAAAGAAAAAAAGAAACAATTCTACCGCCAAACTCAAGTTTCCAAGCTCCCCCCAGCACACAGCTACAGTATGCTCTTGGCTGATTACATGCACAGGATGTACTTCAATGGGGCCGTTCTGTCTACATGTTTAGCCACATTTCCTCTCCTACTTCCCAGTCTCCATATTCCTACCTCAGGGCCTACAATGCTATAATGCAGTGTGAATGAATACCACGATTTTCCTCCTGTTAACAGATACTCTTTCACCTTCATCAGGGCAACCTCTAAGATCTACTCAGTATTTTCTAAGATCTACTCAGTATTTTTCCCTGATCATTACAAAATGTAGTCTATTATGAAAAAGTTTTAAAAAATGGTTACACAAGAAATAACATAATGCCTAGTCATACAAACATTTCCCTAGGCTATGGGATGAAAAAGATTTTCATTGAAGGAGGAGGAAAAGTGTGCTCATAACACTTTATTTGCAAACTAGGTACTGGACTGGATTTGGCCAAATGGCCACAATGTGCTACTGTGATCTGGCTTCTACAAGTAAGTTTATTCTTAAATCATCATGTAAGGAAAACATTTTAAAAAAGGAATATTGAAGGAAGGCATAAGAAATGAAAGACGACAACAGCACACACTCAAGTGTGGCAAGGATGAGCTCTTACCCTCTGTGGACCTGAGCTCCTCTACTGGAGTGCTTTTCACACCGGTGCTGTCATCACTGTCACACTCTGTAAGAGATAAATGCAAATACATTTCTGAAAAACTTGTGTCTTACATTTCATATTTGCCTCCAAACTCACAGCAACTCTCCTGCCCCAGGCATGAACCATCACGTGTAGCTGAACAATAATTTTTCAAAGACTTCTCATACCGAGCTTATTTCCTAGTGCCCATCACTGGCCCAGCAGGGCTTGCTGTTAATGCTTACCTAGTGATACCAAAAGCTGACGAAGTCTCATATACTCTCAAATCAGAGGCACTCATCTCTACAGAGGCAACAAAAAGCCTTAGTTGACAACGGCAACACATGGCACAAACTTACCCAATGCCATACAGGCCTTCACAATGAACCTCAAGTTTCTATAAACTGCTATGGTTGACTAGGTATTGAAAAAAAAAATCAGTTCAGGTATAATCAAAGACCTTGTTATTTTTTTAGCTAATAACTTTCAATCAAAAAATAAATGAACACACATCAGCACATCCACATCCAATTATACATAAGAAGACATACACACAAATATATCATAGAGACTGAATCAAACTCAAAAAAATTAAATGTAAGTTTTACTTGCTTCTGCAAAAACATGAAAAAACACTAAAAATTAAAAGGTCACAATTGTCCATGAGTAAAAATTAAATTTTGTATTTCATTATATGCTTTTATTACACAAATTTATTTCCTTTTTTTAAGCAAACTGCTTCAACTATTTCAAGTGCTGTCTTAGAGAAACATTTTATTTAGTTTTAAAAACAGAGCTCAGCCTATAGAGTCTAAACATTAAAACCAAAGAGGAAAAGACCAGGTAAGATAGCTTAGCTGCTAAATGTATGTGCCACCAAGCCTGACTACTTGAGTTTGATTCCTAGGACCACCTACAAGAGGAGCGTCAACTCCTGAATGTTGTTGTGACTTCCATAAATGTAAATGTATAAACAAATAAATGCAATAAGGTCCATTTTAAAAGAGAACAAAGGGAGAGAAAAAAATAAAACCAATAAACAAAAAACTACAAAAGAATAAAAAAGAAAATTTCAACAGGTTTCTGTTCCTACAGAGTAAAGTCTAGATCAGCCAAAAGAACATGTCTAAACCCACCCCAGCACTTCACCTTTTGGTGGAAGTGCCAAAAAATTAGATCTGTCAGTTTGAATAATGTGCGGCATAAATGCCAAGACTTACAACAGGTTCTTTTGCCTTAACCAACCATCCACACAACTAAGAAAACTGTACTATAAAGACTAGGGAAGCAACAAGCAGACCAGCCTCTTGACTTGACTCAAAAATTGTTTACCATGATGCTTGCTCTACCGGTGATGATGCCGCCTCAACTGTCCACATGTTCACAGCACAGGTGAGGTTTTTAATAAACACTTTCTCAAAAACTTAAAATTTTTATTTTATGTGATTGGTGTTTTGCCTGCAAGTGTGTCTGTGTGAGGATATCAGGTCTCCTGGAACTGGAGTTTCAGACAGTAGTAAGCCACCACATGGGTGCTGGGAATCAAACCCTGAGTCCTTTGAAAAGCAGTCCGTGCTCTCAACCACTATCTCTCCTGCCCCTAAATACACTTTTTAAGATGGATTTAAAAGTCTGTATAACTTTGGTTGTACAGACACAAGTTATACTCTTGTAACTTGTAACAAGTTGTGTAACAAGTTCAATCTTACTCACTTAAAGTAAAGCTACAACCAAATGCATACGGCAAAGTCTTAGGTCCATAGAGCAGGCTATTTACAAAGTATCTGGTAGCAATTAGCTGTGGCAAACTCTTTCTCATTGCTTCTCATTCTCAAGAGAGGACCCTGGTCTCAACACAGAGAAGTAAGGTGGGTGGACAGCCGGCCAGGGTTGCCACTGTACTTCTTAGAGCTGTGGACTATGTACAAATACATACAATCTGAGGGGCTTGGAAGGTAGCTAAGAAAATAGCTCAACACAGACCTTAGGGCATTTACAACATGGGCTGCTCTCCTTGCCTGTGTTCAGCATCAAGTCACTTTATTTTCTGAGATAGCAGAACTCTTACAACTAATTTCTATCTTCTGACAAAAATAAACAAATAAAAACTTATAAACATTGCTCCAAAAAGAAAAAAAATCTGATATATACTTTTATATAAAATGCAGCATCATTGCTGGGTGGTAATGGCGCATGCTTTTAATCCAAGAGGCAAACTCATAGATCTCTATGAGTTTAAGGGCAGCCTGGTCTACAGAGTGAGTTCCCAGACAGCCAAGGCTACACAGCTACACAGAGAAACCCTGTCTCAAAAAGCCAAAAAAAAAAAAAACAAAACCAAAAAGCAGCAGAATTGCTCTACAGCAGAATTTATCTCTTAAATTAAATTTTATTTTATTTTTCTCTTAATTTAAATTCTTAAAGCACATGGCTACAGCCAATAACTTAATATTTCAAGTGAGGGTAAGTAGTGGGTGTGTGGGGAACCTTTACGTCATGGAATATGGCTTGTACCAAAGAAAGTCTAACCCATAGCATACTGATGAAAAGTAGAGGCCACAGGTAAATAATTTAAGCTTTCTAAAGCTCTTTTTCCTTGCCTCTAAAGATTTATAATCCAATAATCTAACTCATAGCATACAAAAGAGGTTGAAAAATATCAGAAGTTATTTATATGTATCTAAATTCTAAATGTTTAAACAAGTTGACTGTAAAACTATACCTTATTAGTTGTAAAATAGTATACCCTCAATAAAAGCTAGGTTACTGAAAACTTTGGTGACAAGAGTCACACTCATCTCTGAAACATGAAACCTGCATTAAAGATTTCTGAATAAAATGTAAAAGGGCTAAGGTGGGCATATGTGGCACCTCTGTTCAGGATTAGTAGGAAAATTTGACTACAATATGCTACTAAATTCTGTTGTTACTGTTTTAACTGTCTGAGCAAAGGTCTCCTCAGTTAGCCTGGGTCAGCCATTAATTTATAGGTCTCTTGTCTCAGTCTCTGAGTTACGGATGAACCACTTCAGGCTCCTTGGTGTTTTTAAGAAAGAATGTAACAGAAAATAGAACTGATGAAAGATACGGCTGCCATGCAAAATGGTCAATTAGGGCAAACTGCTCTATATTTTCATGTCTCTAAAAGAATTTATGGGTGTAGTGGTGTACGCCTTTAATCCCAACACTCAAGGAGGCAGAGGGAGGCAGATCTTGTGACTTCCAGGTCAGCCTGGTTTACAAAGTTTGAGTCCAGGACAGCCAAGGCTACACAGAGAAACCCAGTCTCAAAAAACTCAGTAATAATAATAATAATAATAATAATAATAATAATAATTTACATACATACTATATAGAGATAAAAATCAAATAAGGCAAAAACTACGATATAACCAAATTAAATTTAAAGGCTCGCCTTGCCTGAAAAGTAAATGGTTTTCAAAGACCTAGAAGAAGAAAACTACTGGTAAAGCTACCTGCTCCAGCTCCCTCCCCCCCCCCCCCACACACACCAGCAGAAAATTATTTAGGGCCAAGTGACTAGACATGAATATATGGAACCAGCAACTCCAAATATCTCTATTTTTACTGAGCTAAATATTTTCTGAAAACTTTCCAATTAGCTGAAGAACTAACAACAGCCCAACTCTCCAAGTATTTGTGCCACTATTCAAACGTTGTTTCTGATTATGCAAAAACTCTGATCTAATAAATACCATGTTCGACCTTGACGATGTCAAGTTTCTAAAAAGTTAGAAAGAATGAGACTCAGATTTCTATTGTGAGAGAATGTCCCACTACGCTCCCTACAGAATAAGCCTCCGCAGGGCTAGAGGGGGCACTGACTGCGCTAACTGCTTCAAGGCCCAGCAACCGCGACAGAAGACAAAAGCACTTCTGTGTCCTAAAAATAAGTTCTGCTTGCTGGCTAGTGCCTCACATGGGGACAAATCTGAAATGCTCATGTAATACTGTGCATTCACGTTTGAGAAAGCTCTCAACAGATCCTCAAATTCTCAAAGTTCTACTGAATGCCCCCTATCACCAAAACTATAGTCTTAAGAAAAGGCCAGGGATGGAGAGATGGCTCAGTGGTTAAGAGCACTGCCTGCTCTTCCAAAGGACCCGGGTTCAATTCCCAGCACCCATGTGGAAGCTCATGTCTGTAACACCAATTCCAAGGGATCTGACACCTTCACACTAATGACATAAAATTAAATTGAAAGAAGAAAAAGGAAGGAAGGAAGAAAAAGAAAAAGAAAAAGGCCATGAAATCCACAGACAGAACACCCCTCCTACAACAGCTATTACTGCCAACAGCTCCTCAGGCATGGGTAGGACTGCATGCCTGCCTCCCCTTCCCAGGCTGGGGCTTTGGTCTGGCTTGAGCTTGTATAGGCACTGTGCATCTGTCACACAGCAGCTGAGAGTTCATAACTGCAGCTGCCCTGTTTCACGTGGAAGACAGTTTCTTTACAGTTATCCATCATCTCTCACTCTGACTCTCTTTCTGCTCCCTCTTCTGTAATGATCCCTTTTATTACTTTAAAAACACAGTAGCTTGGAATATCTGCCTTTTATGGCAGGACTAATAAAAAAATATTTTATTAGATGCTCGATTTTCTGAGCATCTAACGTGCTTTATATACTGTTAGATATATTTATAAAAATCACCAATTATTATAACCTTCAGAAAAAAAATGCTGAGTAACCTTTCTCAGCTCACTCAGCTAGGAAGCCACAAAGTTAGCCTTCAGTCAAAGCTACGCCCTTCCTTCTGTGGGCACAGTTTTTGCATTTCACAAAGTTTTTCTCTCTCTCAAAGCAGTGAGTTCCAGTGACTTCTGAGATCAAGCGATGAGGAAAAGGACCATCGAAAGTATGAGAGCATTCATGAGGCACGCTCATCAACCTTTCTTACCCAACCCACTGCATACACCAAACAACAGCAACACAGACAGATCTACAACAGGTCTCCCATCCTAAATCCTACAAGAAACAGTCACAAACTACAGCATGAGAGAAAAAAAACAAAAAACAAAAAACAAAAAAAAAACAAACAAAAAAACCCCCAGGATGTTGACCTAGTGTGGCACAGACAAAAATGCAGGTTGCTGAGGATAGGAGTAATGACAAAAAGGAACAGCGGTTTTTGTTTTGATTTGGTTTTGTTTTTAAAAGAAGCCCCAGATAGGAAAATTAAGTGAATAAAAGTCACAGACTAGGAAGATAATATTGAGAACTACAGCACAGTATAAATACGACAAAGTTCACTTTCCTTTATAACGGTCTATCAATACTGTTACTGTGACTTGTTGTGTACACATCAGCCAAAGGTGGCTGTGACCTCCCAAGTCTCGTTGGCTCAGCCTCAGGAGTAGACCGCAGCCATGAACCACCACACTCAGCTTCATCACTATTTCAAAAAGTACAGCTGAGTGCTACGCACAGTGGCACAGACCTTCATTCCCTGCACTTCACAGGTGGAGGCAAGAGATCTGGAGCTCAAAGCCAACTAGGGACATGAGAGACCACTTTAAAAATCAAAACTAAAAAAAGGGTTAAATAAAACCATAATTTGCACAATCATTTGATCCACTGTAACTGCTGATTAGAGTAACAATCTTCATTATGAATTTTCACTAAAAATATAGTTTCAAAATGATTACAGGAATATAGAGGCAAAGTTAGAAAATGCTAAGCCATACAATAACACTACCAAGAAGTAGCCAGTTTTCTTTCATTGAGGCCTTCACCAGAAACTTCAAATCTTTTTTCTTTTTTTATTTGAGACAAGTCTCATGTATCTCATTATTAGGGCCATTTTGGGATTAATTTTAGAAACTCTGTAACCCAAACCCAAGCTGTCCTGGACTCATAGCTATCCTCCTGCTTTAGTCTCTAAACTACTGGAAACACAGTGTGAATCACCACAGCTGTCTATTAAAACATTTAAATAATATTCTTGTGTTCTCTTCTTTCATATTTATGTCAGAAATTAGGAAAAACAAAACTTAAAAATTCTTATAACTACTTTCTTTTTAAAATACTGTGCGGTGAAATGGAACATCAGTATTCTTAACCATGGACAAACTCACAAAGGTGGATAGAAAACTGCCAGCCATAGCAATGAAGTACGAGGAACCCTCTCCTCCCAAAGACTTAGAGCTCGTCAGCATTTCGCTGTCATGCTCAGTTTTTCATGGCTCTTCTAGGTATTGCTGTATTTTTGCCTTCTGGTTTTAACACCTTGTTTTCTAACAACGCTGGATGCATTCAGGTGGCAGACTATGCTCTGCTTGCTAAATACCTGAAGATAAATTTGCAATTTAAAAAACAAAGATCTGAATTCGAGCTTTAAGACATTAATATATATTTTATACATGTGGATATTGATCTTCTCTGTTAGAATTTATAAAAGGCTGTGGGAAATTACAGTAAATTACCCTCATTCTGAAATACTAAAGTGAAAGCAATAATGCCAGGCATGATGGCATAGGCCTATACATTCAGCACTTGGGAGGAAAAGACAGAAGGGTTAGGAATTCAAGGCTAGCCTCTCTTACATCAGCCTTTCCCAGAGAGAAGTTCAAGGCTGGCCTGGGCTATAGGAGATGCTGCTCAAACAAACGAGAATGTTAAGTATATAAGAAAGGACAAATAAGATAGATGGCTGAAAGCACAAAGGTTTAGGAGGCAGACAACAGTGCACTAGCAGACAGCAGTTTATTGGTTTTCTCAGCAGTGGAACCTCTTCCTCTTTGGCGGTCTGCACTGTGACGGCAGCTGCATACCTTTGGTAGTATCAGATATGCTATTTAACAAGGCACACATCATGTCGCCCTCTAAATGGTGAGGGTTTAGTATATGAGCTGGCCTCTGAGTCTTCTTAAATTGATTCTCTAGCTCCAGAAAACCTTGATCTCCCGAGAGGATGGTGAAAGGAATTTGCTTGGGCAGTTGTTCATCTAGACGGCCAGCCTAAGTTGGAACAAATGGCATAGGTTGTTAAAAATCTGCAAGTTTCAAATCAAATAACACCTATTTCACAATGAGCACATATTTATGAAAGTGAAACATATCTATGTTTCAGCCAAATGACATGTACAAAGGAGGAACCTGTATGACAGGGGGACCTAAAAGGCCACCTAACTCAAGGAAAAGGCAAATAAACCCTCAGAGGGAAAACGTACAGAAAGTTAATTGTACAGAAGGTTAGTTGACTCAAAGGAAGAAGGAATCTCTTAAGGCTGATGAGCAAGTGACACATTTCCAAAAGCATTCATTCACATTATCTGAATGACAGTAAAATGTCCAAGCAGAGGACTTAGTATGAGGTGAGCCCTGGCTCAGTAGCTTTGCTGGGTGACTGGCAGAGGCCAATGAAAATGCAAATGCTATCTGGTGCAACAGTGATTCATACAGCACCTCTCAGCTTCAGATATTAAAATGTGAAAGTATATTAGTACACAGCAAGTACAAAATCGTCTTGAATAATTTCATAAAGAACTAAAAGTCTCTCTATAGAGATGAAGATCTACTAGAGGAATGACACAAACAGTAAATACATGTGTGGTGGGTCCTCGCCAGACCATCTAGCAGAAAGGAGACCCTGATGAAGAAAGTTTTATATAAACTCAGCACTGAATAATGATCTATGCTGTCATTGCAGAAAAAAATACAAATGGATCCTAGATTAACGCCAGGTTTTTAATAAAACACCTACTTACATGCATACATATGGCAAAATCAGCAGCATCTTTTCTTTTACTACAGCGAGGATGAAGAAAGAAACATCCAATCCTGTTCAAGTAATTATAGACCTTACAGCTGACTGGAGGCTTCCAATTTGTGTTTCCTCCTATTAATTTTAGAAAAAATACAAATGATAATCAAGTAGGGAGAGACAATACTGATAACTTTATTGACATAAATATAACCTACATTTTTCTTCTTGAAAGTACTAAATTACAATGTGAGAACTGGTCTGAAGACATAACCGAGTATTAGAGTGTATACCTAGAATGCACAAAGCCTTGAGTCTGACCTTCAGCACCATGTAAAACAAGGTGGTGCACACTCATGAGGGTGGAGTCAGGATGACTAGGCTTTCAGGGCAAGCCTCAGCTACGGAGCAGGTTTGAGGCCAGCCTGAAGCTGTATGAGATGCTGTCTCAGCCCCATTAGTGGCATCACCACCTTGTCGCTTTACAACTGTGGGAATGGAGACCGACTTCCTTTCATCTGCCTACACAAGTAAAAGTTGATGGGGTGACGGCTGGAGAGATATCTCCATGGCTAAGAGCATTGGTTGCTCTTCCAGAGGACTGGGGTTCGAGTCCCAGCACCCACAGGTAGCTCACAAATGTCTGTAACTCTAGTTCCAGGGAATCTGACACCCTCTTTTGTTCTCCATGAGAACTATCAAGTGGTGTGCAGACATACAAATAAGCCTAACATCCATACACATAAAAAATAACTTTTCTTGAAAGTTTATATGGATAGAGAGCACAGTAAGAAACAAAACAATGTTAACATTCTTCAAATGGTATCATTGTACACAAATTCAAATTTTGGTGGGTTTTACAAATTATGCCAAAGTCAGTAGATGAGAAACAATGTGTAAGCATTTACAGTATTTCTGTTTATACTCATAGATTAGTGCTGCTCTTACTCTCTCGATCTTCCTCAGACAGGCTTCTTTTGTGTAAGCAAAAGTTAAATCAGAGATTCTTGACTAGTCAAAATGCTGAGATAACGGACGGGACCGCTGAGTGCTCAACCCTTATTCCTCCCACACCCAGGAAACACAATGCAAGTGGGACAGAAAGAACAGGAGGCAGTGGGTAGAGGCATGTCTTCTGGAGTGGCTCGGCCACCGCAACTGAGAACTCGCAGAAGCTGGGATGACCTGCACAGTGCGGCTCGTCAACTTCCAAAATTAACTGTTGAAGGAGTTCATGGTTGCTGGCGGCAGTCACTGGCTTTTGTAGTGTGGCCACTGTTAAACTGATCATGCTCCACTAAGTAACCTCCCACCCACACTTATGTCAGCAAAAACCACAGACATGAGAATAGGAAGAGCACACTTTTCATAGAAGGGGTTCAGCGGGAGTAGAAGTGAAATATGAGATGGAAAAGAGGGTGAAAATGACTACATACACACACACAAGAATTTTTAAAAATTAAAAAGTATAGCAATCAGCAAAACTAGACTTAATAAAACACTGGACTAGCTAATTTATCCAAATTAATGTTTCTGTCTTTAATGGCAATCCTTACCTTTGTAAGTTATTTCCTCTGAAAACGAACAATAATAGATACTCACTACACTAAACTTTAGTAAATCAAAGAATTCTTTCAAAAAAAAAAAAAAAAAGACTTCTTTCCCATCAGTCTGACCAGTGGTTTATAGAAGTACTTAGTGAAGTGATTCCTCATAAACAGCAACAACAACGGGAAAATCTAGGGCCAGCCATCCAGACAGCTCAGTGGGTAAGGTGCTTGCCACCAAGACTGACGACCTTGGAACCCACATTAATATAGGAAGAGCACTGTGCTCCCACACATTGTCCTCTGACCTTGTATAAGTAAAATAAATGTAAATACACAGCAATAATACTCAAGCAATGCTTTCATACTCTACTCAGGAAGCTCAAAGGAACCTTTTCAAATGAATCATTCTCTAATGCTTTCCTTCTTAACCATACCTTGAAAGCCCCAAATAAACGTTCCTTGATTAAGATGTCCAGGTAGATGACCAAAAAAGTTCGACCAGTTATCAAAATCTACAAAGACTATATGAGTCATGGTTCGCAGGTAGTCCACATCTGGAAGCTCAACTTCCTCCTCTAAGAACGACAAAACATTAACATGAATTCAGTAAGAATCGTTCATAAATTTCCCAATTCCTCAAGTCTAATGTTAATTGTTCTTATTATTCATCTCTACTGACCTTTTCAAGAAAAGGTTTTTGGTTTTTCGAGATGGGTTTTCTCTGTGTAACAGCTCTGCCTGTCCTGGTTTTGCTCTGTAGACCAGGCTGGCCTGGAAGTCACAGAGATCCACCTGCCTCTGTCTCCCTAAGTGCTGGGATTACAGATGTGTGCCACCATGGCTGGCTTTACATAGCAGTTTATACTTAAACCAGGTAATATTTAGGACAGTTCACACTTGATCATATCCTTCTTAATCTATCTTCCCTTGACTGTAAGGCCTTTGTTTTCGTTTTGATTTGAGACAGGATCTTACTTAGCCCAGAATGGACTCAAACTCACTATGGTAACAAGGTTGGACTTGGACTTTGGTTGTTCTGCTTTCATTCTCCAAGTGCTGAGACTACAGCATGCACTACCACAACTGGCTAAGGCTTCTTTTTAAAGAGTCATTTGTGTTAGAAATTCAAATTTTAAGACTAAGTAGAATTTCACTATCCACAAATATTCAGTATGTATGAAAAGATTCATGAACTTACATCAACAACCATATAAAATGACCTAGTAGAATAACAATGCAGAGTAGCTACAGCCAAATGAGGTCCTAATATTCCAACTAGGAAGGCTCAAAGGAACATGTAAAATGAATACAGCAAAAGAATTTGCTTTTCTTAATCTAGATTGATTTATTAGTAGCAGTCTGGTTTGAGGATTAAACACCCAAAAGAGCATTACTGAGGTAAATTTAGAGCCTGACCCCACAGGTGGCAACAGAAGTTAATACCTACTTCCTGGTTCTCTAAGATTCTCCTTTACCCTAACCCCCTTTTCAAGCTATCCCACCATGGCAACGCCTTATAGCTTCCAATGGTCTTCATGCAATCCTCGGAATATTTTTAAATGAGAAGTTTCTACTAAGACTAACAGAGGTCCTTCAATGTGTTACTACTGTCCTCTCCTACTTACAAGCCAGGTCACATCTCTGTGTTTCAGAAATTAGATTTAGATGCTACGGTTATCTTCTGTCAAACCCAGACAAACATACATTGCCTAAAAGCAATGAGAAGAACAAAAGAAAGCACAAGAGAACATCAAATGGTACAGATATCATTTTACTCTTTTGGAACTAGAATTAGACCATGAAAGATTGAATGCTTTTTTTACTGACAACCCAGAACTAAGTATCAAGACCTATGTGTACTAGAGAGCAAACCTGTGAAAAGCCAATGGTCTACCGCTAGGTGTGGTGGTGTATGCCTGCAGTGAGATAGTACGCAGGCTGAGACGGGGAGGGTCGCTGAGCCCGAGAGTACGAGAAACAGTCTGAATAACAGTGTGGGACATCACTGTCAAAAATTAAGTCAACGGTGAGTAATGAAAGTGTAACCGGAGTCCCAGTTTGCCACCCTCAGCTGCTGGGCCTACACACATGCTGCCAGCCACTTCCGAGCCTAGGCCACCTCTTGGCCAAAGTGGCTGTGTGTCCCCAGGAGGGGCTGAGGCAAGGTGCTCTAACCTAGATAAATGTCTTGTCCAGTGAGTTCTGCAGCAGGGCAAACTAAGGTGCTTCTTTGTTCCTAGCTGATACCGGGAGACTCTACGAATGGGCCCACTGCAGAGGGCTTTGCAGGCCCCTTCTTCTCTCACTACAGAGGCCTTAGACCAGGTGGACAGGTTGTGACAAATGTTGAAAACTACTACTTGAAATATTGCTAAAGTGCTACTTTACAAATAAACATTTAAAAAATAAACATGAACCATAGAAATTTTATTCTATCAGCCAAAAATTTGTATCTACGTTAACTTTTACAGTTCACCAAGCTAATATTTAAGTTACAGACTTAAATATTATTAAATATTATTGTATCTAGCTCAAAATAATTAAACTTTTAAATAAATGACTATTCTGTACACTTAATTCAATCATATGGATAGAAAGGTCAAAGGAAGTATAAAGGAAGGAGTTCACCTCTCAACTCTCCACGCTCATTTCTAGCTACTACTTTTAGCTCTACTTCTAGTCACCATTTTAGTTATTTATTACAAAGTTCTGTTACAAAGTAACCTTAAATTACACTTACGATTTCTCATATTTAAATAATAAGGGCACACCGAGCATAATAGGGCATGACTGTAATGGTAGTACTTAGGAGGCAGAAGAGCTGGCACAATTCCTAAATCATCCAACTACACAGCAAGGTCCAGGGCATCTGAGGCTAGTGTGTGAGAACCGGTCTTAAAACACAAAGCCAAAGTAAATAAAAATTTAAGTTTCTTAATAATTAATTTTTAATCTATGTGCATCGGTATTTTGCCTGCATATATGTTTGTGTGAAGGTGTTGGGTCCCCTGAAACTGGAGTGAGCTGCCAAGTGAGTGCTGAGAACTGAACCAGGATCCTCTGGAAGAGCAGTCAGTGTTCCTAACCACTGAGCTATCACTCTAGCCCCATTTTTTTTTAATTTAAAAAAACAAACAAATATGAACAAGGCCAAAGAAACACGAAAGAAATTCATCTAGGGCTGGTGATGTAGCACAGTGATATAGCAATTGCTTAGCACGTATATGCTAAACACAACACACAAAGACTCACATATACACACACATACACATTCACACACAAAGGGAAGAACATTTTGCTTTTAAATGAACTCTCATTTTTTAAGAAAAATATGATTTTAAGGTTCAGAACTACCAAATCTTTTAGAAAGAGTAGCACCATTTCTCAAAACTCTCACTTCTTTCTTAAGCAAGAGAACTGTGTTATTTCAAGAGAACATAAGCACAACTCCCTGAAATGCACACTGGCTGCAGTCATCAGCAGATCCTTCTGACTGCGTATCACTCAGCTTTTACTGTGGGTACTCATACCAGTGAGTACCCAGTGTGAGTGTGTGAAACCTGCCCCAGTCTGGAAAGCCATACCTATATTCTGGCAGCTTATGTCATGCTCAGCTCCTTTCTCCACATCCGAATGTTTCTGATAGTTAGTCTGTTTCAGTTTTTTCTCGGTATGTGAGACACTGGCAGCAAACTTGAATGTGCTCCCTCTGTCAGGTCCGCCGGGAGCCGCACTGGGTTTCTGGATGGCCCCGTGCTTTTTGTGGAAGTGCTGCTGAGCACTCTCGGTGTTATGGAACGCCTTGGTGCAGGTGCCACACATGATCACATGCTGCGGTTCCTCATCACTTCCTTCTCTACTGTGCACCTGGTGGACGTGAGCATTAATGTCGGCTAAATTCTGTGCTGTCGCTAAACATGAACTGCAGCGAAACCACAGTTTACCTTTCTCTAGCATGATTTGAAGACATCTATCGTAATCTTCCTTTCTGTTGACTTTACAGATGTAACTCTCATGACAACCACAGCTTAACAAATTACTGGTCTCTATTATTTTAAAATCATCCTCAGTTTTAATGGAGGTTTTAGTTTTTTCTGATACAAACACATAATCCATGCTGTGGTGCTCCTTATAATGACTCAGAAATGCTTCTTCCTTATTAAAAGTAAGATCACAAAGCCCACAGAAGTACTTAATCTTGATGTCATTGTCATGCTCGTCTTGGCAGTGTCGGTACAATGTTTCTATCTTATGAAATGTCTTCCTGCAATGGGTGCAGCTGTATCTATGAAACTGGTGGCTTGTCAGGGACATGCAGTGTTGCTTTACACATTCCTGGGAGTCAAACATCTCTTCACAAATTCGGCACTGCCACCTGCCCCTTGGTGGACTGTTTGTCAGGCAATGGTCTGCAGTAATGGGTGAAGGTGGTTTGTTTGTGTTCAAATGACTCACCACAGAAGAGGATGGCGAGGCCTTGTCTTCTACTTCATCCATCTCATAAAAATATCTATGCCCATTATGAAGCTCAGTAACATGTGCCATAATGGCATCTTTCTTTATTAACTCCTTTTTGCATGTCCGACACCAAAATAGAAAGTTATTTAAATGTGCCCCTCCATGAAACCGGCTCATATGCAAACGCATGACTCCTGAATCTTCACAAACCTTTCCACAGACTACACACTTGTAACACATTGTATTTGCTGAGAAGACATGCTTTTCCACTGCATCTTCACTTGGAAAGCGCCGACTGCATTCACAGAACCAGGCTGTAACTGTTGAACTCTGTCTCTGCACACAACATGTACCTCCTCCACGGCTTTCCACTCCGAAATTCATCTTCTTTTTTGGAATGACACAATCCTCTGCGCTGGACTCTTTAATAGACATAATTCGTTTAAGTGATGAAATTTTTGGTTGACTGAATAAATGCAAATCACAAGGAGTTTTACTCCCTTCACTGATATGGCAATAAAGTAAGACTGCCTCTTCCACTGAATTAGCAAGAATAATTTTGTGTCCTGAATTTTTGTGACTTTGGGTGCTGGTTTCATCCACAAAGACCTGGTTGCAATCTGAACAATAACCTCTTACTATGAATTCTTCTGCAACCTGAGTAATGCTTTTCTCAGCTATAGCTACAGGTCCAGCATTTTGACAACGAACCCTAATTTGGATTAAAAAAAAAAAAGTATAAGTTTTCTGTTTTATGTGACAAGAATTTTAAAATAATATATAAGCATTAAAAGATACTTTTTCAATAATGCAGTTACTCTACCATCTTAAAATACTTTTATATTGCTTCTATTTTATCTTCATAGTCCATATACAAGGGGTTAAAAGTAAAATCAGAAGATTAAAAACATTAAGGCAAACTTTAGAAAATCTCAGTATCAAATTCACGGTAAGAGACCCTGAAGCAAATTAGATTCACAAGGTAATTAAAATATGTGAATAAATATTGTAAAATTCTAAACAATATTCTACTTGGTTTTTTTTTTTGTTTGTTTGTTTTGTTTTGTTTTTTTCTGGTTTCATTGTGGGTTTTTGTTTGTTTGTTTGAGACAGGATTTCTCTGCGTAGCCTTGGCTCTCCTGGACTCTTTGTAGACCAGGTTGGCCTCAAACTCAGAGAATCCACCTGCTTCTGCCTCTGCCTCTATGCTGGGATTATAGACATGCAGCACCATGCCCAGCTCATTATAGGTTTTTTAAGTGATTAATTTAAATTTACTTAACTATATTTATTTATTTAACATGTATGTGTGTTCTGTCTACATTATCTGATTACTTGTGTGCCTGGTGTTCTCAGAGGCATGTGACCCCTGTGAATGTAGTTACAGACAATTGTGAAGTGCCATGTGGGTGCTGGGCTTTCTGGGCTTTATAATATATAATCATCATCATCATCATCATCATCATCATCATCATCATCATCATCATGATCCCTAAGGCCATCTCTCCAGCCTTGTTTTTGTTTTGTTCCCCCTCTGAATAGAATTTCACCAGGTAACCAAGGCTGGCTTGAATTTGTGATCCTTCTTCCTCAGCCTCCCAGTGCTCAGCATGCACCATAGCTCCCAGCACTATTTGTTAAGAATTGATTAACTTATGTCAGGAATGTTGTATCCACATTTGCTTTTCTGCTAAGGACCAAGACTCATTAAGAACTTCGAAGTGGTAAGTTGGGCCGTCCGGGAATGCTGATTCACATGTGAGAACCCCTGGCCTTTTGGCTCTCCTTCTGCATGCCCACGCTTCCCAACCACCCTTCTCCCCACACCTCTCATTTCTCTCCTTATGCCAGATCTGTACAGCCTTGTTTTAAAGGAAAGACATGGGATAGAAAATACTTGCTGAAGCTTTCCACTACTGAAGAACTCAGCAGGACCTCCTTACAGCGTAAGACTAGACCTGTACAAACCTGAAATGGGCAGTGAGCTCCATGTGGGAACGCAGAGTCTGGTGGCAGGCCACACACTTAACTTGAAATGGAACATCTTTACACAGAGAAACCAAAAGTTTCTTTGCAAAAGATGGAAATGAGATTGGATGTGCTGTTCCCTTATCATCTGAAAGACAAATAAACTATAAATTAATAAATTACAAAGTAATTTGAACAGATAGTAACAACCTTTTTCTTCTTTCCCTTTCTACATATCAGTTACATAAAAGACAGTTATGTAGTAAAAATGTATGGGAGACAGCCTGGTCTACAAAGTGAGTCCAGGCAGCCAGAGCTACACAAAGAAACCTTGTCTAGGAAAAAAAGAAAAAGAAAAAAAAAAAAAAAAAAAAAAACAACCCAAAAATGTAAGAGAGACCTTTTTGACTTAAATACAAAGAGTGCCTTATACTCACTAAAAGGAGTCTTAAATACAGAGGAAAATCCAATTTCCCAGACCCCCCAAGGTGTAACAAAACCACTGTCCCGAATATGAATATGTGCTTTCTTCCCAATTTTCTCTTCATCCCTCAAATAGGTAAGACATAGCTGGGTAGTGGTGGCACATGCCTTTAATCCCAGCACTCAGGAGGAAGAGGCGGACAGATCATTGTGAGTTTGAGGCCAGACAGGACTACAAAGTAATACCCTGTCTAAGAAAAAGGAAGAGAGGGTTAAAACATACAGATACAGATATTTTTGAAAAATTAGAATTTAAAGAAAACATTTCATTTTTATGGTTCTAAACTGATCAAGCATAGCTAACACAGAAAAATATTCTGAAAGGTATAAATGTGCAAAGATGCAATTCATTTAAATAATTTTAACAGTAATATATTAACATACCACCCAGTTTAAAACTCTGATGGAAATGATTCTTTGAAGACATATGCTTCAAACACTCATCCTTGGTGCTAAACAGAAGAAAGCAATGAGGACAAGCAAAACATTGAATAATCTGAGGAAGAAGGCTTTTGCTATGTCCATCAGCTGCAGCTACCTAAAATAAAAGGGAAAACTACATCACAACTAAAATCAGCATATAAATTAACACAGTAAAAAAAGTAACTTTAAAATTTCCAATTTATTACTTGGAAAATTTCATACCAACATTACAACTAAAATCAATATTCAATAAATTTTTTAAAATTCACTTTAAAACTTCTAATTTTATTTACTTGGAAAATTTCATACCAATTTTTTACTTTTCTGAGGATGAATTATGTAACTTTTACCATAAGCAAGACACTATAGGTAAAATATAACTTTACCCTCAAATTCAATTACGGACATCTTTCTTTTACACTAAAGAATATTTATATATATTTATCATTTCTGATATACAGTCACTTTCTAATGTTTGTTTATCCTCTGTACCCTGGATTTACTTAACTGATGACTATCAATACATACTCCTCATTAACCTTCTTTGTTTAATTATTTACAAACATACAGAGAAATCTATAAATGAAAATGTTACTGCTTTATCAAATGCCATCATAAATTTTTATTAGCTCTTTCATTCCATAATAAATAACAGCAATTTCCAAAAATCTCTTGGCATCCCTTGACTCCATACTTCTTACTGGCTGCAAACCAGTCAATGGTGAAGATCTGTTCTGATTTAGTCAACCATTCATTCTCATTTTCAGTGGTTTGAGCAAGTTCCCTGCACCACCACACACTATAAATAACGATATGAAAACCCTTACAAATATGCCCCTATTTGTTCTCATTATTATTTGGAGTAGCTCTAAATAGCAAGAGGTCACGTGTATTTGAATACTAAAAGGTACTATATGATTGCTTTTCAAAAAGGCTCTATCAATGTCTGTGTCCTCTAGCACTGAATGAACCTGGCAACAATAGGGAATAGGGACCTTTTTTTATTTTTCTCAATCAAGCAAGTTTATACCATTACTGTTTTAATTTGCATTCCCTGCCTACAATTAAGTTTGAACATGTAATCACACATTTTCTGGGTAATCTGGATGTTGTTCCAAGAACTTCTCACTCATATCCTTTAGAATTGTTTTCAGTTGATTTAAAAAAACAAAGATTTATTTATTTATTATTTCACAGTGTTCTGCCTACATGTGTGCCTGCACGCCAGAAGAGGCACCAAATCTCACTATAGATGGTTATGAGCCACCATGTAGTTACTGGGAATTGACCTTTGGGAGAATAGCCAGTGAGTGCTCTTAACTCTGAGCCATCTCTCCAGCTTTATTTTCTCCTTCCTTAACAGTACTTTATTACTGGAATTACTTCCTTTACTCATTCTTTATTGTGGAACTATTTCCCCAAACATATATTAATGTTTGCTCATGGTCACTTTAAATGTTTTGGATAGTCAAGAGTTTTGTTTTCTGAGACAGAGTCCCATACATTGCTTATCTCAAACTCCCAAGGACTCAAGAAATTTTCTTGCTTTGGTCTCCCAAAACTGATGGAGAGCACACAGGTAAGCACTACCATGTCTGCCTAACCAGGTTTTGTAGCATCTAAGTTTCCAAACTGATTTAGAGGCCCCTCTACCCTAAAATTAAATTAAAAAATGTATGTTTGCATGAATAGGTATGTGTGCTTGTTGTAAATTTACCTTCCTATTGATCATCCTTAAAGTAATAATCTTAAATATGTTCTTAAATGTGCTACTGGTAGAACCAGGAACTTAACAAGTATATAGTGCTTACAAGACACAAAAGGATAGGAAATTCACATCTATACTGAGAGCATGTCAAGAGCACACTAGGGTTCTGAAAAGGTTTAGGTGAACCATCCTTATAGCCCCATGGGGCATCATTTTCACTGTTTCGGTTATCACACTGCTACCACCATCTCATAAACAAGTTCATAAGCAGATCCAAAATAAAAACTGTCAAAAGGATTTGCTCAAGAGAATCAAAGTGAAATTCAAATCAAAGTGAAATTTTATTATACTGTATCTACTACAAAAGAATGGCATTACTTGCAGAAACATCTGAAAACTGGAAGGAGTAGGAACTAGTCTACCCAGTAAGTTAAGCTGGAAAATGTCCCTTTTATTGTATTTCTGGTACATTAAAATAGCATACCATATAAGGAAGCGCTATGGCTCACTGGGTAAAGGTGCTTTGCCACACAAATCATGAGGCACAAGTTTGAGCTCTGGAAGCCACATAAAGTTGAAAGGAGAGAACCAATCGAATTTGAGGGCTAGAGAAACTGCTCAGTGGATAAGAGAATGCATTGCTCTTGCAGAGAACCCAAGTTCATTCCCAGAACCAACACTGAGCAGCTCACAACCACCTGTAGCTCTAGCTCTAAGGATCCAACAGCTTCTTTTTTCTGACTTCTGTGAGCACGTGCACAAATATGCATGGTGTGTGTGCACACATGAGTGTGTGTGTATGCGTGTGTGTGTGTGTGTGTGTGCAGATGCTCAAAAAAAGTTTTTAAAGAGTAATATGTAACTTCGTGTCATATGATCAAAATCATATGTTTTGCATGTTGAGTAAGGTAATTTCAAATATCAATACCATAGAAGAGTTTATCTCTAGGAGTGCTGGAGTTTAGCTATTAAGTGTCCACAATAACTTAAGTGCTCCAAGTCATTTTATTTTTCAATATTCAAAGTTTTTACCCTTATGTGCACCATTAGTGATTGCAAGATTATGAGCAACATGGAAAAAAAGCTATACCAACTCCGTGGTCATCTAGACAAAGAGTATCTACTCATAGTACATGCTTTACCTTAGCAAGAAGGTGATCTCTATACTGCTGTTGAGTAACAAAATGTTCATAGCATACCACACATACAAAGGAATTGGCGAGAGCTCCACGTAATGTAATTGTTGGATCACATGGGGAGTGATCAAACCTACACAATCAAGGGAAGTAACATCAGAAAGATCCATTTTGCAGGAGATAAGCCACTTTGCTTTGCTTTGTTAAGCTTGTGAGGTTGACCTACAGGAACACACAGACACAGGAAGCCTTTTCTATTTCTACTTGAGACATCTGTGAAGAAAAATGGCTAGAAGCCCAAACTCTCAATTCTCCATCTTTCAGCTATCTGAAAAGGAGACAACAACAACAACAACAAAAAAAACCCTCTGCTTTCTCATGATCTACTAGAAAGAAACTCAGCAAGTCAGTAAACTGGGCCACAGCAGAGCATTTAATTATAAATTTTGGCTTATAGTAGATACTTTGGGGTGCTGTATTAGATTATGTGAGATAGACAAATTATCTGTAAATGTTCTACCTCCTGCAATTTATATTTACAGGCTGGATTTCTTTACAACTATTTCAACTGCACCAAAATACTAGAAAGCAATCTTACTTTCTAAAAAACATAAATGTAAATTACAAATAGCATACCAAAATAGCACAAAACAAATTGAGTTTCAAATATTAAGCTAAAACCATACTGGTAAAGGGATATCACACTTCTTTTAACAAAACCATTTTGAGAACTATTTGCACACAAAAAAAGACCCTGGATTGGATCCCTCACACTACAGAAAACAAAAAAACCTCCACCCCTAGATGACTAACCTTTGATGTCTACATTCAGAGCATTCCACTTACCTTTTCAAATGCCCCAAAAGAAGGTGGCCATTGTCAAATTCCTTGTTACAGTTCATTATAGGACACAAAATTGGCTTCTCAGACCGCCACATTCTGCCTCCCCTTCGGAATGAATTTCTTGCTCCAGAATTAACTGCATTTGTTTTGAGTCCTAAATCATTATAACATAAATTCTTAGTTACCATTTCAGATAGCGGTGTATCAGACTAATCATCAAAATAATGAGCAAACAAAGGAAACTGAACACAGCATCAAGCAGATGCTCTACTTATGATTAGGTGTTCACAATCTTTCTTCGAAAACAATTTTAAAGGAAATAGTTACTGGGACACACATTCACGTAAACACAATTAAAGCTCCCTCACTTATATGAATTGATTCTCTCCCTTGAATTCTTATTTTCCCTTTAATCTAAACTGTCCAAATAACTAAATTGTTGAAGTAAATTTTATCAATTACCCTGTGGTAGGACAGACATGAAAAGTTGGGTTCTTCTACTAGCTCCTGAAAATTCCAGATTACTCACCTGGAGAAAAACTGTTTCACGTTGGGCCTTCCAGGAAACTCAAAGCAAGCAACAACAAAAAAGGCTAGCCAAGCTTTAAAACAGTCTAGATCTAACTTTAAACTGGTACATGTCCCTCCAGAGACTACTTTATACAACATCTAATAACTACCTAAAGCACTCAGGGGCCACAGGAAGTTAGCAGCAAAGCAGGCCACTGTGAAACAGGCTGTTTGTAGAGTGGTAGTAATATAACTAAAACTAAAAGTGCGTGTGTGTGTGTATGTGTGTGTGTGTGTGTGTGTGTGTGTGTGTGTGTGTGTGTGTGCGTGCACACATGCACATCACATGGAGGCCATCCAGCTTGGGTGTCCTGTAAGTGTTGTTTCTTAGGTACTGTCCACCTTTGTGGAAGCAAGATCTCTCCAGTGCCTGAATTTACAAAGTAGGCTAGGCCGGCTGGCCAGTGAGCCTCAGGGATTCTCCTGCCTTTGTATCCACAGCACTGGGGTTACAAATACATGCTACCATGTCTGGTATCTTTGATGTGGACTCCAGGGATCTCTGAGGTTCTTGATGCTTGCACCTGACTACTGTTCCACCCATAACACTAAATTCCAATACCGTCTATGCTCACTAGCAATGGAATCAAATCCACACACTTTCTACCTTAAGGCTTCCAAGAAGCTCGGGGAACTGAAATGTGATCTCAATGAATACCTGACATTTTTAGCCACTGGTCCACACACTGTCTTGCTGCTTCTGTTTCTGAATGTCCTTGAATAAATTCCAATTCTTGTAAACCATGAGCGTGCTGAAAATCAATTTTTTCCTAAAGATAATAAGAAAAAAAATTCATTGACTTATGGTGATTACTGTTTCTTGGGTAAAAGATTTTGATACATCAATGATCAGAAAATATTGACTACTCTTTATCCCAAGAACTCCATATCTAGAAATCTATACCAAAGATTATATATGTCAAAATAAAGTCTTATGTACTACACTAAGATGCTGAGCCTACATTTACTTGCTCAAAGTTTGCTACATACTTACATCTCCAATAATAGGGAGGTAGGCAAATTACAGCACATTTGATGCAAGTCAATAAAAAAATGACCAAACATTTTTCATGCTGAGAGCCTAATCTGTAGGTCACCAAATAGTGTTAAATAATGAGGACAAAATAAAGGAGCCATATCAAATTACATAAACTATATCTGAAAAGGTTATCAAAAAGGCTAAAAACCGTATTTAGGCAAAATTAAGGCAATATTGTAATGGAAATATAAAGACTGTTTCCATCTTTAAAATTTTAGATATTTTCAAATTTTCTATAGTTTAATATACAAAAGACCTTAGTAAGTACTTGAATGAAAAACATTAGTTTTAGACACTCAGTAGCATATACTAAATAATGGTACAAAATGTCTGTTACCATCTACCCCGAGAACTGGCATGCGTTTTCAGAATGGAGCGAACAGCAAACATACTTAGCTTTGCTCATTGTGTAGTCTCCACTATTACCTCACCCCCTGCTGCAGCATCAGAGCAGCCACGCAGTATGTGAACAAACACAGCAGCATCCAATAAAGCCTTATTCACAAAACCCATGTACAAAAAGTACATTACAACCCTTGGAAAAAAGTATATGTATTTAGTTCTTTCTATCCACATTTCATATGACCAAATGCTTATCAAATTTTTCTAAGAAAATTGCTTCTATATGGACATGTATTAACTTTCCTCTTATTTTCTAAACAATACAATGCAACAACTATTACATAGTATTAGGAATGAGAATTAACCAGAGTCAGGAACCCTGGATTGTTCAGGATCTAGAGAATAACACATGACCTCTTTAGGCATGTATTGAGATTTTCCATTAGGGTGTACAGGACAGTTTTATGTCAACTTGACATAAGCTAGAGTCATCAGCGAGGAAGGAGCCTCAATTGAAAAAATTGCCTCCATAAGATCCAGATGTAAGGATTTTCTTACCTAGAGATTGATGGAAGAGGCTGCATCTCTTTGTGGGTGGGGCCACCCTTGGGCTGGTGGTCCTGGGTTCTATAAGAAAGCAGGCTGAGCAAGCCATGGGGAGCAAGCCATAAGCAGGACTCCTCTACGCTCTCTGCATCAGCTCCTGCCTCCAGGTTTGTCCCTGACCTCCTTTGACACTGAACATCAACATGAAAGTGTGAGCCAAATATACCCTTTCCTCTCTAATTTGTTTTGGTCATGGTGTTTTGTTGCAGCAATAGAAACCCTAAGACAAAGGGTTAAGTGAAGTGAAAAAAATTGACCAAGATTTTAATCTAAAGACAATTTATAAAATATTGTTCCAAAGTACAGCCATAAAGAATTCTCAAAAATGTTGACATGTACATATTTAAATTTTTTTATGGTCAAACAGGCATAGAAATACTGGCTTTAATATAAACATTTTAAAGAATCATTCATATAAAATTTCCAAAGCCCTAATATACTAATGTGATTTTTTTTCAAAACACAAAGCAAATTATCCCAACTTCACAAGCCACCAGTTTCTTACTAACTAATCATTACAATAAAATCTTCTTTAGTAATAAGAGTAGGGGCTAGAGGGTGACTCAGTGAGTTATGTGCGACCTAAGCAGGAGGACCTAAATTCAATCCCTAGGACCCACATAAAAAACAGCCACCATGGCATGTGCTTATAATCCCCGAGCTGGGAAGGCAGGCAGCTGGGACACACTGCCTAGGTAGCATAGCCTAATCTGTGAGCTTCAGGCCAACGACAGACCTTGTCTTAAAACACAAGGTAGATGACTCCTATGTTCAGCACAGGCACGCACATGCACACATATGAATTATAAAACGCCAGCCAATTCACAAACACCAAAAATAATTAGAAGACATTTTCTGTATGTTTTTAAATAGAATAATCACTCACTAGAATTCTTCAAAAATTCTGTTTTCTACCTCTTTCTTATAAATAATTCTATGTATTAATAAATTCCAATTAAAATAAATACACACCCTGAATGCCCTGTTCTTCTCTTCTTTTTGTTGTTTTTCCACTTCAACATGGCGGGCGAGGCGAGCCAATGTTAAAGCAACTTTATCCTTCTGGTGGTCTATATAGTCTTTGCGTTTAAAATTCTCCTACAGTACAAACAAAAATAATTTTCATTCCATTTAATACAAATTAAATTAGCCAATAAGCATTCACTTACCAAACAGCCACTGTATTCAAGAACCATTTACTTGTTATTTTAAAAATCTTGCTGTGTATGGGTGGGTGGGGGGCGTAGGTATATAGGTCTGCCTTTGTCTCCTTAGTATATCTTGTATTTTATTGTGATATTTTGTGACTGATATGCTAACAGAAGAGAAAAATATAATCAAATAAGACAATTAAGGTGTTGGACATATTGCAAACAGCGCTGGCTGTTTTCCAGAGGACTTGGTTTGATTCCCATTACCACATGGTAGCTCACTGACTGTAACTCCAGTTCCAGGGAATCTGATGCCCTCTTCTGACCTCCAAAGACATCAGGAATGATATATGCAGGCAAAACAAGCATACACATAAAGTAAAAACAAAAGGCATTCATACACTCATACAAATAAGCCACTCAAAGCTATAAATGGAGAGGGGAGAGAACACACACCAGTAATAAACAAAAAGTAAGACAAAAGAAAACCAACAAATAAATATTTTTTTTTAAAAGGGATTACTAAATATGGTATTAAGGCAACTATGAAGGCTAATGGGATGGCTCAGTGGGTAAATGCTCTTGGTAACAAGCTTGACAACCTAAACTTACCTAGAAACCACAATGGTAGAAACAGAGAACACTCTCACACAGTTGTCCTCTAACCTCTACACATGTACCAGATCATAAACACACTCATTAGGCACACATGCACACAAAATAAGTACATGTAAGATTTTTAGAAAATTGAAGACAAGATCCAATTATATGTTATTTATAAGAAATGTTCCTTTAAATATAGTTACACAAAAGGAAAGAAAGAAGCATATCATTTGCTAAGAGCTAGGGATTTTAGCAGTGGTAGAGTGCTTTCCTAGTATGCACAAGGCCCTCAGTTCAATCCCCAGAGGCAGAGGAAGGTGGGCAGAAAGACAGTAAGAGGGAAGAGAGACTTGCTAACCCAGAGGTCAGAGGCTGACTTCAGAAGTCTAAATTGCTTTCCACCTTTTTTTAAAAAACAACTTCATATGGATTATAGAGCATACTATGATCACAGTTACCCTACCCTCTCTCTTCATCCCACCAACCAGTCTTTTCCTCTCCTCCACACTCCTTCTGATCCCAATTACTCTCCCTCCTACTTTCTTATCCTGTTTGTTTGTGACTCACTGGGTCTTATTTTCTTCTAAAAAATACAATAAGAAACCCTAGCTACCAATTTTGGGAGTAGATGAGAGACTCCGGGAACTTGGGGAAAAGCCTAGTAAATGAATCAACATACACTGTGACTTTGAAACTTTTGCCAGTTTTGAAATCAGAAATTTAAAAGTGAAAACATATTTTAAGTATTTTCTCTTTAACTGAGGGGAAAAAAAGTATATGAGGCAGATTTAATAGTTACATGGCATTATTTTTGTTGCTGTTATTTATCATGAATCTTTGAGGGTCAGAAGAGCATGGCATGCCACAACGGTAAAGCACTTGCCCAACCAGAATCACAAAACAAAACAAGACAAGCTGCTAATAAAAGCCAGGCATGAGTGATATTGCAACTCTCTCAAAAATGCCAAATCCCACTACTAGGAGTACACAGTGAGGAACAGCCACTAGCCCTCACTGTCTTCTGTGGTTCCAGGAGAACACTAGCACCATAAAACACTGCTTAGAAAGTTTACCCAGAGATCACAGGAAACCCTATTTTGCACAGCAGCATAGCAGGTAATCCAAAAAAAAAAAAAAAAAAAAATCAAAAGAACCTAGATACAAATTTTAAGTTACCAGAATACCAGGGGGAAAACTCTACATTACCATGTTAACAACTGTGGTGGTTTAATCATCACTGTCAACTTGAATGGATTTAGAATCACAAATACACCCCAGTTTGTCTATAATGGTGTTTCCAGTAAAGAGTAGTCAGTCATTTCCCAAGCCCTGAGGATGCAATGACAGCATGCAAAGTCATGTTCCTGCCATGACTTTGCTGCCACAATCCACAGAGCATTCAAACTGTGAGCCAAATAAGTCTTTCCTTTCTTAAAGTTCTTTTTACCAAGTACTCTGTTATAGCAATGAGAAAAGCAATAGAATCCAACTTCAGAAAAAAAAAAAAGTATCAAAGTGAGGAACTGAGCAGAAGTGAACAAATTTCAGGACAGCTAGGAGTTCTTAAATGTTTCCTAAAATACTAAGTTGGCCACAATTCTTAGGACTGGAACTGTTTGGCATTCACGAAACCCGAAACGCTGCTGTGGGTAGGAGCATGTTTTGTGCATTGTGTATTCAAATGCTGATTTCTGTATCTAGAGATCTGGTTGCAGTCAGAGCTGAACAGCCAATAGTTGGGAGAACAGGATAAGGTAGGACTTGAGATCCCAGGTGGAGAGCAGGGAGAGAAGGTTGTCATGAGAGAGTCACCATCAAGGCAGGGGAGACTAAGATGACAGGTACCTGGCCACGATTGGCAGGTTAGAATAGCTGAGTATCATCTCCCCTGTGCCTGAAACATCTCCATGTCATTATTTGAGAGCTAAGACAGGCATGTAGAAAAGTCTCTACTTTTTTATTTTTACAATTGTATTTAATACAAAGTCACAGAATAAAATTGTAGAACTTCCCATACACTCAGGCTTGATTTGCCATTGGCTTTTGCTTGGGTTGTAATTTATGTTCTTGGATCTTTTCTAAGATCAGGTGTTCAGCTATGTAACTTACCACGTTCATAGTAAACTAGCTCTGAATCCACATAAGAATAATAGGTTTTACATTTTATTTGGAACATTAGCAGGACCATCCACCTTTAAGTATTCACCTGGTCACTTTGGACTAACTTCTGTAAGATACATAGTAAAATTAAAGAATCCATGTGGACAATAAATGATAAGGTTTTGTGGCGGGGTGAGAGCAACACAAGAAACTCTTACGGAAAATTCTGGTGAGGAGTCTATTTAAACACAAGCAGAAAAGTAAGCAACAATATACCTAGGTACTAGGGATTAAATCAAGGGCCTTATGTGTTAGGCAAATGCTCTATCATCTAAGCAATATCCAACCCCTCATTCTTTATTCTATTTTGAGTTACAGTCTCACTATGTTGCCCAGGCTGGCCTCAAACTTTAAATTTTTCTACATTAGCCTCCTGAGAAATGAGGTTGCAGGCATGTACCACCACACCTGGCTTATCTGTCTGTATTTTGACCACTGGTTATTTCATATCCAGAACTGAACAGAATTACAAAGACAGTACAAAGCAAAGAGACACTATGAAATTCTTAGACTTCTTTACATTTTGTTGCTTCTAAGAGGATCTCCTGTAGGCTAGGCTATCTTCAATTTAGGTCAGGGATGACCCTAGATTCCTGATTTATCTGCCTCCACTTGTCAAGTGCTTGGATTTCATATATGAGCTATCATACCTGGCTAACTTCTTAATTTTTTTTAAACTTGAGGTTAAATATGTACCGAAGTATTCTAGGTATCCTAGAAATGGCAATCAAATTCAAGACACTAGTTAAATCCACTATTCATGTCAATGAAATCTAAGCAGAGGAAGATGGCAGGATAACTCAATCTAAAGAACACATGTACTTCAGGGATAAAGGCAGGAAGACCTAGAATCCAAGGCCAGTTTTGGCTATACAGTGAGTCTGAGCCAGTACAGGCTATGCTAAGACCCCATGGAAGAGCCTAGAGATGGTGGTCCATGCCTTCAATCCCAGCACTCAGGAGACAGAAGTAGACAAGATCTCTAATTTCAAGGCCAGCTGGTCTCCAAATAAGTTCCAGGATAACCAGGGCTACAAAGAAAAACCCTGTCTTGAAAAAAAAACCAAAGAGCCCATGGTGGAAGTATGATTGATTCAAAAGCACAAGTCTCTGATTCACTCACCAGCACCAAAACCAACAAAGAGTTTATCCTTCATGTAGCTCTGCAAATCTACAAGCATGGTGTAACTTGGGGAGGAAAGATATTTTATGAAATCTAGATTTAAAATTTTAGCCTTGTGACAAACTACACTATCCTTTTTGTTGCAGATCAATAATCATTTTATCAGAAACCAGTTCAGATTATAAACTTAAATTCTGAATTCTAAATGTAAGAGATTAATAATTACCTCCAATGAAAATTCTACCATTTTGACACAAATTTCACTAACAGGTTTACAGAATTTAAGGTACAAGGATTCCATGGAAAGTATCAGAATCCAACATTGCTAGATATTATGATCTGCTGTATAAACTGTGCAATAAAATAATCATTAAATAGGCAAGACAATGACCTGACATAAACCCTAGTAGTCAATAAAGTGATGCTAAATTACATTACAATATCAATATCTTTCTTTCCGATCACATACACATATGTGAAAATAATCCCATATGGTAAAATCCAGAAAGTGTAAATCAAAATGTTTGTAGTGGTTATATCTGTTTCGTGAGTCCCTTTCTTACCTACTTTGTAATTTTCCTATAAAAAGTACATGTAATAACATTAATAAACCTATTAATGATCAAAAGTAAATGAAATCAGAATGTTAAGGCTTTTAATCTTTTGTTGTCTGTAAATATCCTTGAGGCAAAATGGTTGGATTACAATTTCCAAGTCCAACAGAAGCATATGAACTGAGTCTAAGTGTAGCAGTGCACATGTCCAAGCTACTTGAGGAGCGGTGAGGCATTTGCTTCAGATTGTACATGGGCTATCAGCTTAGGCAATACAGTAGGTGTATAAAAAACTAGGATAAGTGATTTATAGACAGAAGGCTTAGTGGCTACTGTTGAGAAAATATTTTTCACAGCTTTGAAACCAAGTACCACTGTCATTTTAAAACAAAAAACTAGTTGGCTAAAACCAATTAGTATAATTTTTGTTTACTTATATATGTGCCTTTCTAGAATCTGGTTTGTTTTTAGAGACTGGTTCCCACTATGTTCCACATGTTAAGTCTC